CTATTATTATCCACTATGATGATTTCATGAACTCATGTCCCATGGAGGGAGTTACCTTCAATACTGGGACTGCAAAACTTGTTCCTTTGAAGAGAGAAATTTCTCTACAAAGGTTGAAGAAGTTGATCCACAGAAAATTTGAGAAAGAACCCTACGAAAATGTAGCAACCACGAAAATGTAGCAACCATCCATTTTCACTGCCCAACTAGACTTGGAGTTGGGATCAACAACTTCATTATTGTTGAGTTGAAAGATGATGACGATGTGGAGACGATGTTCGATGTTCATGACTTAAACTCAAGTTTATGTGGTATTGAAATTTTTGTTACATTTGAAACTTCTTCTTGTTCATACCCCAACCCACACTCACCTGAAATCTCACCCTCACCCTACCAAACTTTCCCAAACACTGACCTAGAAATACCCACACATAATGACTACATCTCTTTTACCCAACTTCTAATTGGGTCTTCCACCAACATCAACGAAGAACTACCCACACAAGAGAACGAAATTGTTGGCCTCCCAATTGAATTCGTTAATCCTTTTAGTGAGGATGAAGACGAAGATGAAATTCTCAGCCAACAACAAGATGATTCAGAGGACGAACAACCACATATCCCTACACATGCACCAAACTTCATAGAACCATACAACCCACCATAACATTTTATTAACTTTGAAAATCACATTCAACAACAAGACCCAGAGTATGACCATGCATTGGACAGAGAGTCTTTTGTTTATCCGGTAGGAACTCTATTTATTGGACAACGTTTCATAACAAAAGAACAAGTTCAAGATGTCATCAACTACTTTCACATTATCAATCACTGCACATACAAGGTGAAAATTTCAAACCAAAGTAGATATGTTGTTGAATGTGTTAATAACCAATGCAATGGGAGATGTCAAGCAATATTGCACATAAGAGAGCAATATTGGGAGATTATGAAGCTTGAAGGGCATCATACATGCGTTTCGCCATTAATTAACCAAGACCACAACAAGTTAGGATATAAAATTATTTCCCAAACAATTGGTCAAATAATTAATGTTGATTCGTCAACACTAATCTCCACAATCATATCTCACATCCAATTAACAACGGGTTACACTATAACATATAGAAAGGTCTGGCTGGCCAAACAAAAGGCAATGGAGACCATCTACGACCATTGGGAGGATTTGTATAAGAAGTTGCCTTGTTTCTTACAAGCTATGCAACAATTTGTTCTCGGATTCTTCTACAAACTACAGTCACAACTAGCTTACCAAGATGAGGCCCTTCAACAAAATTCAAATATTTTTAAGCGTGTGTTTTGAACGTTTAGGTCATGCATAGATGAATTTGTTCATTGCAAGCCCATTATTCAAGTGGACAGAACTTTTCTGTACGAAAAGTATAGAGATACCTTGTTGGTTGCAGTTGTACAAGATGACTGCAACAATATCTTCCCCATTGCGTTTGTAGTGGTCGAAGGTGAAACAAGTGATGCCTGTTTTTTTTTTTCTTAAAAAACTTCCAAAGATATGTCACACCCCAACAAGGATTATGCCTCATATCAGATCGACATGAATCCATTAAAAGTACATACATGAGAAATGGAAGTAAATGGATATAAAATAATTCGATGCATGTCTACTGCATTAGACACATTGCACAAAATTTTATGAGACGGTTCAAAAACACCGCACTAAAGAAAGATGTTGTAAATATGTGTAATTCCTTTGCTTCAAATTTGTTACAATTTATTCATTATTTAACTTTCTCTAATAAATATTTATATTAACTATTTTTTTTAATATTGTTGTAGCATATAGGATGACTGAACTACGATTCTACTATTATTACAACATCTTGAGGTAATGTGACATAAAAACAACTAATTGATTAGATAGAATACCTAGAGAAAAATGGGCACTTGCATGGGACAATGGACGACGTTGGGGCTACATGACGACCAACATAGTAGAGTTTATCAACTCTGTTTTGAAAAAAACAAGAAATCTACCCATTTGCTCCATGGTCAACGCAATGTACACCCGCTGCAACAAATTTTTCATTGAAAGAGGGAGGCAGATAGATGTCATGATCAATGCTGGTCACGTATACTCTGAAATTTTGGTCACAAATTTAGAGGAAGCACAAACACAATTGAACACGCATAGGGTCATAACTTTTGATAGATCTACTACAAAATTTGTAGTAGAAGAAACACAAAACTCACGTCAAGTTTGATCAGCAAGGAGGTTTGCAGTTTGTCTTGATGAACTGTGCTGTGACTGTGGGAAATTCCATAAATTTCACATGCCTTGTTCACATGTTCTTGTTGCATGCACACTATGACTTCAACAACTACATTCATCCAGTATATACCTTACAACAAGTTTTAAAGGTATACGAAACACAATTTGGGTTGCTACGAAATGAATAATATTGACCAACATACATAGGACCTACTTTGTGTGCAAATCCATAAATGAAAAGAACTTTAAAAGGCTGACCAAAATCAAGCCATAAAAGAACTGAGATGGACTACTTCGCGGATAATTAGATTGTGTTAGTTAAGAAATGTCTTAATGTATGAAACTTAGGAGTTTTTCAATTAATAAAATTTCTTCTTTACTTGATTAATGTAGAGTAATTATTTTTTATTTATAAAATAAAATTATAAAGTATTATATATAAACATATAAATAAATTACTTTGAATATACATTAAATAATTATAAATAAAAATATATATCAAATTAAAATTTAAAAAATAACTATTTATAAATTATATATTATATAAATTATAATTATAAAGTTAAAAAAATTATATTTAGAATTATAACCTTAAAAAAATATAATTATAAAATTAATAAAATTATAACTATTTTTAATGTTAAATAAATTATATATATTATATAAATTATAATTATATATATACGGATCCCGATTATAAGTAGTTGCATGTCTCTTTGGATTTCTAGCTTGAGCGAGAGTTGATCACATACTAAAAATCTAACATAGTTAATCACATAATGTAACTTGGATCACCACATATTTCAATCATTTATCGTTCGAGCTATAATTTTATCATTTTAACTAAATAAAACTGGATAATACTCATTAATTAGGACTTTTCGCTCAAGATGAATTTCTCCGTTTTGCCCATTGTAGGATGAGATAGGAAGATTAAAAGAAAAACTATTTTTTTTATCTTTTGTTCTGATCCATTACCAATATCGAGTAGTTTCTCTGAACCTTAATCCTTAGTTATAACGTGTACATCGTTTCCTTTTAGCTTCGGTGCAAAGAAAAAGTGTTAAAAAAATTATATTTAAAAATGAAATACTTTTTAAGGAAAACAATGACATTTACTGGAATAAATTTATTATTTTCAAAATTAATAAAAAGCAAATAATTAATATAGTCGAAAGTGAATTGTGTTTTATATTTGTCTTAATTACTTTTTAATTATCTTGATTACATAAAATAGTTTTGAAGTTTGTTATCATAAATTAATTTAGGCAAAAAATCTATATAAACAACACATACAATTTTTTTTTTTACAAAAACAAACCTATTATTTTTTATCTCACAAAATCGCAATGTATAAAATAATTAAAAATTCTGTAGAAAATAAGGATATAATCCAACAAAAGTTAGTGTTGGTAGTTTTTAATTTTAGAAATAGATTAATAAAATGTATTTTTCTAAAATCCAACTCTTAAAAAAATAGAGAAAGAAATCATGGCAAATAATGATTTAATTTATTTCTTCTACGTAAAATTATAATTTTAGTTCCTTATTGTTCTAGTTATATTCAATCTGAGTCTTTTGTTAAAAATAAAAAATCAATTTAGTTATTTATATTTTAAAAATGAATTAAAATAATATTCCCTATGAAAATTAAGTGTTTATGTTTTGCGACCACCTTCCATTAACCACAATTGTCTCTAAATAATTATACATTTCGCAAAGAAAAATATATAAGTCTAAAAAATAATCATGTTATCTCTTTAAAATAATTATATTATTTTAAAATATAATAATAATTTTATTGAAGAAAAACGTATAGAATTGGAATTCAAGATGAGTCTGACAATACTTTATTTGAGCAGATGATAATAAGTAAACAAAACTGAAAATTAAAAAGTAGAATTATTCGAATTAAGTAAAAAACAACGAAAATAAATAAAAATAATATTTATTATTATGATATTACTTTTTAAACTATTTTTATTATTGTAATAAAAAACAAAAAATATGAAAAAAAGTTATATCATAATCAATTTTACCATTTACGTCACACTTATTTGCATATTATTGAAAAGGAATAAAAAAAGTCTTATTTAATTTTCGAAATTCGCATTTTTGGCATTTTAAAAGACATGTTTCTTCAGTTTTTAACGTTATTACTTTTTTCCAACTTGGGAAGCAAAGTTGTAAAAGATTTTGTATACATTCAGCTGGCCACACAAAGGATCACACTTGACACATCTTCTGTGTCTGTTTTTCTTTTTCTCTTCTCTCTCGTCTCTCTCCCATTTGATAAGTTCACACATGATGCATCATCTGTGTCTGTTTCTCTCTCTCCCATCTCATTCATAAATTGAATTGAAGCCTATTGTGTTGTGTTGTGTTGTGTTGAGTTGTGTAGAGAGACTCTCCCATTCATTCTCACTAATGAAGGCTTGATCCACCTTCTATCACTTCATCTCTTTTCCACGCCCCTTTTTTTCACTGACCAATCTTTCAGTTCTCTCGCTGAACCGATTCAATTGAATGGGCCTTTACCTCTCTGTTCTTCCTCCATGCCAATGGCTACCTCCTTCTCTGCCTTGATTCTCCACCGACCACCCATCAACGCCCTCGACCTTCTCCTCATCTTCCTCCACACTCTCTTATAGCCCCACAAGATCAAACCTTTTTCTGTTTTTGAATTTTTTTTTAACTAAAACCAAGAACCCGATTTTTCTTGTCAATTTGGACACCCTTTTGGATTCTGATGGCGTCAGTGTTTGTGTACCATGTGGTGGGTGATCTAACGGTGGGGAAGCCGGAGCTGGTGGAGTTTCACGAGAGTGAGACGGTGGAGTCCGCGATTAGGGCGATTGGAGAGTTCCCTGAGGGGAGCATACCCATTTGGAAGAAGAGATCTCATGTGGGGATTGAGAATAGTGAGATGAAGCAGCAGAGGTTTGTTGGTATTCTTAGTTCCTTTGACATAGTTGCGTTTTTGGCTAAGAGTCAGTGTTTGGAGGATCAGGATAAGGCCTTGAAAATTCCTGTTTCTGAGGTTGTTGTTCCTAACAATTCGCTGCTCAGGGTTGTTGACCCTGCTACAAGGTCAGCACCTACTTCAATTACTTTTAGATATGCTTTGATAGTAGAATTTGCTTCCAACACACTTTCATAGTAAATTACCCTTTGATTCAATCACAATCACAGGTGAATTTCAAAATATGTCTTGGAGTGATTTTTTATTAGTTTTCAATGCGGAAATCTTTTTATGTACTGTCTATGAAAATTAAACTCTTGTTTATATTAACTAAACAATACTTGCTTTATTGAGAATAGTATGTGTGCTACTCTATTATTCTCTCTGTGTTTTGAGTTTTTTGATTGTGCATTGGTTTATTTAGTAGCAGTGGCAGTCAATGTTAAGTGCATGATCTGGCCTTGGTGACGACTGAGAGTGTTACGTTACGTGGGTGGGTTGTGTTATGTTTTGGAGAGAAAGATTGTTTTTGTTTTGGAGAGAAGATTGTGTTTTATGTTGCTATCAAAGATGAGGTGTCTGGGAAATGATTGGTGCACAATAATTTTCTTCTAGGCACCTGGTGTTAGAGGATTGGATCATCGGTGTATTGGTTCCCCGATGGAATATGATTCCATCCAGTTACAACAATTTCTACTTCCCACAATGCGAGGGAATTTGACATTACCTAGTAAAGTACTTGATAACTTGAGTTTGTATGTCAAGCAATGGGATATTGAATTCCCTTGTATCTATCGTATGCTTTGGTATCTTCAGAGGCATCCAGGAATGGAGTGTATTAAATACCACATATATTCTTAGTTTGACTCTGTAATCCTGAGCTCTGTATAGATTCTTTCGTTAATGTGTTTGTGTATGGCTTTCATCTGCTCGTTGCAGAAGGAACATACAAAGTTTACCAGATATTTAATCCATGAAATAATGCTGTTTTGCTGCTAGTTACCAATTGCATCCAGGGGATAGTGGTGTCTGACGTTTGCCAGTTACCACCGCTTCTCCCTGTTTAAGGTACAATACCTAAGCGAAGAATGTTTGTTTAGTATCTTTTCTGAGGTTCAGCTTGTGGAATTCTTTTTCACCCTATGTTATGCTCGTTTGCATTTTTTGATATTGATTATCAGAATTTGGGAACTTATAATGTGATCCTAAATTTATATGGCCTAAAGCCTCGGATCAGTGGCTATTATTCTTTTTCAAGAACAAGGGTGAAGCATTTGGATGTAAAAAAATGTGCGATATATTATTGTATTTATTATATTCTAGGTAAACCTAAGATGAGATAATTGACACTTTCAAAGTGCTTATCTGGTACTTTGTTTTGTGCTAATGTGTGATCAATATCCTTTCTTATTATGATAAATAAACACTCATAAAGTTACAAAGAAATATGTTACGGAGGTGTTTGTCAAACACACTCATTAAAGCTAGCTTTGGTTTAGATTTTTCTGACTAATTTGATTTTGATTTCTAATTTCTCACACACACTCTTGATGTTATTTTATTTTCTCTTGATGTTATTTTATTTTCTCTAATCAAGGTTGATAGATGCGCTGGACATGATGAAACAAGGTGTGAAACGTCTGCTTGTTCCGAAAAGTGTAGCATGGAAGGGTATGAGTAAGCGATTCTCGGTTATCTACTACGGCAAGTGGCTCAAGAATAATGATTCTCCTGGCAACAGCAGCAACAATCTACCTCCTAACTTGAATTGGAGCCCCTCAGCATCAGGAACTCCTCTCCCTGATAAGTACTGTTGTCTCTCGAGAGAAGATGTTCTTCGTTTCATCATTGGTTGTCTTGGTGCTTTGGCCCCCCTTCCTCTCACTTCCATTGCTGCTCTTGGAGCAATTAATGCAGACTTCAGCTTTATTGAATCCTCTGCTCCAGCCATTACAGCCACTAAAAAGCTTCCTCAAGATCCAAGTGCAGTTGCTGTGACAGAAAACACATCAGATGGTCAGTTTAAGATCCTTGGAGAAATTTCTGCATGTAAGTTATGGAAATGTGATTACTTAGCAGCAGCATGGGCTTTAGCAAATCTCTCGGCCGGACAGTTTGTCATGGGAGTGGAAGATAATATTAGCTCAAGGTCCCTGCCTGAGTTCAGTGTAGATTCACCAACTGGAAACAGTGATTTAGTTAATGGTGGTGGTTTAAAGAAACAAAGGAAATTCAGTAGCAGGAGTATTGGGTTCTTGAGCAATTCTGGGAGCCATAGCTTTGGCTCCAGGAGCATGTATAGGGGTAGGAGTGCACCTTTGACATGTAAACTTTCCAGTTCACTGGCTGCTGTATTGGCTCAGATGCTATCCCACAGGGCAACTCATGTTTGGGTGACCGAGGACGAGAATGATGATGTTTTGGTCGGTGTGATTGGATACACTGATATTTTAGCTGCTGTAACCAAACCACCTGCACTCATGATTCCTATTAATAGATCTACAGATGGGTTTGGAAATGAAATTCAGTGTTGATTTTTTTTGCTTTCAGCTTTTTCAATGAGTACTCTTAGTAGTTTGTCTCTTTGCTGCATCTCAGTACATTTAAGATGAAAATGGTGTGGGTTGTTTGTTTGTATAAGTTTGTGGTAATATAAATAAGCAATGTTTTCATGGACTGAATAGCTACTATCTGTAATAGGTGTAGTTTGTAAGTGTTAAAGAAATTTGTTCATCCAATGATCTTGGTGTGGTACTAGTAACTTAGCTTTGTTCATAATAGTATTCTTTTTAAAAGTCTTTTCAAAATACAACATATATATATATATATATATATATATATATATATATATATATATATGAAAGGGAATAAGTGGTAAATTTAGTTCAAACCATCTGTTGCAGCTTAATTTGAGATGAATATGCACTTGGATTAGTTTCCCTCTTTAAAATCAATATTGTTTGATATGCAAACACCACTAAAATTATGAAGAGATATTGCAGGGTTGGGTTGGTCATACTTTCAAACCAACCAGTCATTAAAAAAATTTGGCAGGATGAACTTTTGGGTTAATAAATAAATAATATTTCAACATATATTAGTCATTGACTTTTCACAAATAATTACAACGACTTTACTGTTTAAAACGAGTAACTCAAGCGCATGTTTTGTTTAATCCACAATGAAAATGACAAATAAGCCAGAAAAAAGAAGAAGCAAAAATGGATGGGTGCAACATTTGTGATTGATGATTTTGGGGTTGCATATGAAGACAAGGATTTTGAATTACTGTGATTGATTTGAAGGTGACGTGATTGAATTTGTGGGTGAAGTTTTAAAATCTGAACCTAATATTTCTATGTACGGTGGTGAGGAATGGAAGTGGGGTTATAAGCAAAAACGAAATTTAAAATTATTGCATTGCAGCACAGCAGCCATGGCTGAAGGAAGAAGCAATCATTGGGCTGAATGGGCCCCACACAGATTGGTCTTGTCCGGCCTGATAGTCAAAACTAAGAGTCAAAAACATTTTGCATAACTGAAAGAAATTATAAATGAAAAAGAAGGAAAATCATATACTAATAGCTATTCTGCGTATTTTTCTACATACATTAAAAATATTAACAGAAGATTAATTTGATTGATAAAATATTTTTTTAATTAAACAAAAAATAAAATATAAGCATTTCAGATTTTTTGGTTAAGTTTCTCTTTTTAAATATAGCTAAAAGAATTTATTCGTTGATGGTTTGCAAATATTTTGTAAATATTAGTTAAAGAAATATGAACATGAATTTAGAGAATAAAATTTTTCTTTCAATAAATAAATGATTAAACACACAAATGTAGTTAGAAATTTATTATTGTAGTAATTTTTTCAGAGGGTTTATAAAACAATTTTTTTTTAATTTTATTATTTATTAATATTGTAAGGGTCGACCCGCATTCCTATTGTGAGGCACAAAAATATATTCTGAAGTGTATTCTAGCATTTTCTAGTTTCTACTTTATGTGACACATACTTGATGCTAACAATTGGAACAATTAATATAAAACTTTATACTACTTATTTTTTTTGAAAGAGACAATTAGATGCCCAAAACAAATGCAACATATAAATATTATTTTAACTATATGAAGTTCATGGTAAATGTAAGGGATTTATTTAAGAACTAAATATTATTTAAGTATTAAATATTATTTTCAAATAGGATGATAATTTTATAATTTTTTTATGTGTTATTAATATCTACTTTAAATAATTATAATTACTTTTAAATTAAATTTTAAAAAATAACTAAAATAAAACCTTATCCCCATTATCTAAAATTAATAATTAATGATATATTAAATGAATCTAAATATTAAAAATGAATAAAAAAAAATAAAGAAATATATTAGATTAGATAATATAAAAATTTAAAAAAAAATTAATGCACATGAGCCTATCCCACCTTATAATTTAAGTTATGAAGATGTTCATAAATTATGAGTTAAAAGTATATAACTCTTCCATATTTTATATATCTATGTAACTTATCCTGTCACCCCTACATATAATAAAAATGTTTTGTTAAAAGTAAGTTGCAGCATATGTTACAAGTTTCAAGGAACAAATGTTGGATGCATAAAAGGGTTAAAAAATCTTAGATAAAGACTCATGAAGAAAGAAAATTTAGATTTTTTATGTGTTTTTGTCCACACATTCATGACCAAAATTCTATTCCTTCCTTCACCAAAAATGTAAAGCAAGGCATGTGAATTAACTTTCTCAACGTATTTTCCATTAAATTTGATTCTGTCACATCTCCAACATATTCATAGTTTAAACCACAAATTGGGTGATGCTACACGTTCTCTTCTTTCTCTCCACGTGTTTGCATTGTTAATCATTCAAAATTTTTATTATTAAGGTGTTATTTAAATTTAAAATGTTATCTTTATTTTAAAGATTTGTTTTTTTAAGACTTTATAAAAATAAAAATATAATAACATATAAAATATTAATAATATATCAATATGATTAATTAAATTAAAATAATAATATAATTTTTTATTATTATTTTAAATTATAAAAAAATCTCTTAATATATAATTTAAATATAAAATTAATAAAATATATATTTTGAGTAATATATATCTTAATATATTAAATTTATTCTTATATACTAACGTGTCTCATAGCTTCATTTATAACACGCATAAATCTCGTATCACTTTTATCTAGATACGAGTCTTTTAAAAATAAAACTTTGATATCACTTGTCTCTAAATCTATCAAAACATCTTTTAAAAATAAAGTCTTGATGAACTAGAATTCTAAAAGAGATATTATCTTAAATATAATAATTGATTCTAACAATAATATTGAATATGAGATCAGTATTATTGGTTGATCAATGAAACTATTCCAATATATTTATGAGTTTCATCTCACTTAAGAATCAAAATCATGAGTAATTTAAACATATTCTCCTCTCTTAATCTCCCAAAACGTCTCTTAAAAATAAAATTATAACTATAAAAATTCTAAAATAAACAATACATTAGACATAAAAATTTGTTTTATAATAACAAAATGAAACTAAATACTCTTATTCTATCCTTCGATAAGAATATTTAACAAATAAATGTTAAAATTAAATTGTTTCACTTGATTTTCGAACTTATTATCATCAAGATTGTTTTCCAACAACAACACATAAACCTAGACCCATTTTAATATTCGGATAAAAATCCCAATAGTAGTTTATTTTTTTAATGAGAGAGTACTTGGGTTACTATTTTCATAATTCAACAATTTTTACCTTGGGATTCACGTACAACAAAACATCAATAAATATACAATATGCCTACATTTCTTATATAAGAACAAAGTAAAAGAATAAATATTGACTATTAAATCTTATATTATAAATAATGCGATTAAAATACATAAATCATGAATATATTTTTGTAAAACTCGCATGATTTTATATGATTACGTGACTCTACTCCATTATAATTGTATGGCCTAAAATTGTTGATCCCACTTTGAAACAAAAACAACTTTTCCATTAGACACATGCCATATTGGTATAATGTGTGTGATGAGAATAAGTGATTGATGGTGAAATCTCAACACAACACCCCAACATTCAACTTTTATTTTATAGATAAAAAAGCTTCTCCGACTGAAGTCAAGATTGGTGTTGTCACCTTCAAACTGCAAAAATAACATGAGTGACAGTATATATCATTTGCAAGCAGGGAATTTATGATGCCTGCATTATTAACGCAATCCCACTTTGTGTTGTGCTAAGAATAAAATAAAAAGCAACATGTCCAAAAACTTATTTGAAAGGTGGATATGGAGTAGTGGTACAAGCTAGTGTTGCACCTCATTCTTTATTCTGAGTGTCAAAAATCGCTGACCACAAAGAAAACAACAAGGCGAAAGCAACCACACTTGGCATGCACTAAGCTTTCAGGAATCCATATATATATATATATATATATATATATATATATATATATATATATATATATATATGCATGGAATCCAATTCTCAGAACACGTCCTCCAAATCCATGCTTTTCAAATCTTTCTTGCAATTGAAATCCCAGTAAAAACTGTTTACTAAAGACAGATTAGTTCTAATCTTGTAATAGTCTGTTTTGAATGATTGAATTCAACTTAAAACTTAAGTTATATCAGAGTTGATTCTAAATTCATTAACAAGTTGTATACTGAAAAAAAAAAAAAAAAGAATCATATTAGCTAACTAGAGATAAGGCCTTAAATCAAATTTATGGGATTGATTCAGGGTAAACTCATATTCGAAGAATATTTATACGTGTGCATATTAACTATAGATGAAAAGAAAAGACGAACCAGTGGTTGAGAATCTCACTTATTGAGTTTTAGAGACCGTATTTAACTTTTGAACTCACCACTTCTAAGTTAGAAAACCTTGCTGTTGCATAACAACTCACCTTCATGAATTGTTGGTCAAATTAAATAATAAAAATAGAATACAAAGAAATTATGTCACTGGAATAAAGTTTCTGATTTGGTTGTCTACTTCTGTCCTTTCCATATAGTGTATAGGTGAATATTAATATTAATATTTAAATGGCTTCACTCGAAGAATAACATTACTGATTTGTTTATTTACATTTTGTCCTTTGTTGTAAGTGTATGCGTATAAATACTCCAAATAGGTAACTGTTTGACTCAAAATGCATTTTGGCTACACTCAAACCAAAGACAGAAAAACCAAGTGTCGTCCAAATATTCATAGTTTTGTCGAGAAGTTCAGGGTTTTCAGATCACACAGAAAAAAAAAATAACAAAAATGATAGGGTGGGAAGATGTGTACAAAGTGATAGTGGCAGTGGTGCCACTCTATGTTGCTCTGGTGTTGGGGTATGGTTCACTGAAGTGGTGGAACATCTTCACTAGGGAGCAATGTGATGCAATAAACAAGCTAGTATGTTACTTCACTTTTCCACTCTTTACTTTTGAGTTCACTGCTCACATCGACCCTTTCAAGATGAACTTTTCGTTCATAGCTGCAGACACCATATCAAAGTTCATCATCATAATGGTGCTTGCCCTATGGGCAAAGTACACTACTAAAGGGAGTTTTTGCTGGTCTATAACGAGCTTCTCTTTGTGTACTCTTACCAATGCTCTTGTTGTTGGGATTCCAATGGTGAAGCCCATGTATGGAGCCCTTGGTGAGGACCTAGTGGTCCAGTCCTCGGTGGTGCAGGCCATCATATGGCTTACTTTGCTTCTCTTTTTCTTGGAGTTTCAGAGAACAAGGATTGAAGGCACCACCTTGAAATCAAGCTCAAAAACAATGATTGTTGACAACACTAGTAATAATGTGACAGGTGAAGGTGGAAGAGTGAAAGACGTGGAGGAAAATACTGTAGCTATTGATGTGAAAGAGGAGTTGGTGTTGGAAGAAAGTGTTGGTAGTAGGCTTCCTTTTCGAGAGTTGATGAAACTTGTGTGGCTCAAACTTGTAGTGAACCCAAACTCCTACGGCTGTGTGATTGGCATATCCTGGGCTTTCATATCCAACAGGTATACTTATTCCATAGCTGGAAAATAATCAACATACATCTACTAATTTTTTTTTCTTTGGTATCACTAGCATGTTATAGATAGGTAGTGAATCACGTTTAATCAGAGTATCACTGTAATTTTTCCACCACACTACATAATAACACCAATCCTGACATGTTCATCAATCACAGTATCACGTTTTTCTTTCCATATATATTTTTTTTCCTTCATATCTCTTTCTTCCATTTACATGTACTTACACTCCAAAACCTTCTATAAAATCAAAGTAAATTATCTATATTAGGATGAAGCAAACCTATTTTGCATTCATGTAAAATTAATTCTTCCATCAGATACAATATACACGAGTGTAAGTAAGTTTGCTTGTTCCATTCATGCACACTGGCACTTGAAATTATCTATCCATATATTTCAAACGATCTTTATGTCTTGTAGTGTGAATTTATGTATGTGTGGACATATATAGGTGGAATTTGGAGATGCCAAGTATGTTAGAGGGGTCTATACAGATCATGTCAAAGGCAGGGACAGGCACTGCCATGTTCAGTATGGGTGAGTCAGTTAATCACATATATTTTTTTTATTTTCTTATAAACATATATTCTTGTTACTTAATTAAACATAGTCAAAGTAATTAACTAGTTTAAATTAGTTTCAAACGTGGTGTGTGATGTGTCCTTTATATATAAGTATGCATGCAGGTATTTTCATGGCACTTCAGGAGAAGTTGATTGCTTGTGGACCAAGTCTGACCGTATTCGGTTTGGTTTTAAAGTTCATTGCGGGCCCTGCAGCCATGGCTATTGGTGCCATCGCTGTAGGATTGCATGGTGACGTCTTGAAAGTTGCCATCATTCAGGTAATATATATAGAAAAACTATTATGTATACTTAGTGCTATGATATGTCCAGTGTTATTAAGAACAATGACTTATTAGTGTTATATATTTGTGATTGTGTTGTGTTTTGGAAGTAGATTATTAGCCAAGTTTTGCTAACTTTGGTTTGGAAAGCTAGGAATACTGTTCGCAACTTGATTAAACTAATGAATACTTGATATTGATTTGTGACAGAGACCACTTACTGTGTCCAAAACATTCTACAAAGATCAGGGATTAATATTTTTATATGTATGTAAGAAAAAAAGGTGGTGGAGGAAGTGTAGGACACACTATATGCTGAAAGAGCATGTCATTTCTTGTATCTTCTGTTTTTATGTGTAAATAAAAGCATTGTGGGTTACGTGTGTAAATAAAATTAGTTAATAAATTACCTGTTAAAGTGTTTATTGCATTATGAGTAAACATTTCAGAATAAAAAAAAGTTTGAAATTCATTTGTGAAAAATCAAGACGAAAAACAAAAGCACAAGAATGCTTTAAACATTCGATTTTTTCTGTTTTTCAGTTCCATTAATTTCATTCATTGTATATCTGGCGCAGGCTGCTGTGCCACAGTCCATCACATCCTTCATTTTTGCTAAAGAATATGGATTGCATCCAGAAGTTCTGAGCACTGCGTGAGTTTGGTTTTTCCTGTGATGATCTTGTAGCCATTATGATCTGTAGTGCATCATCCACCTAACATTTTGTACACTTTTCTGGTTAACAGGGTGATCTTTGGCATGATTGTTTCCCTTCCCATCTTAGTTGCATACTACGCAATATTGGAGTTTGTACATTGAATCAAAGATGCTTCATTAAAGGGTCCAAAAAGGATAATTCAAACTATTTTTTGTTTCTTCAAGTTAAACTGAAACTGTAGCTACCCAATTGTACCATGGTTGCCTCATACTGATTTTGATTACTATTAGCAGTAAATTATATCCATGGAGTGTGTAATACAAACCTTGAAACCATCCATGTTTCAAGGTGCACGTTATTATCTGCAATCGATTCCTCAGAACAGCATGTTTTATTGTCTTTTTTTATGTTTTCATGGGTATTGAATATTGAATATTGAATATTGATACGGAGGGTTCTAAAAATACAAAATGTAATTTGCAAAATCATATGCAATCCAAAGAAACTAAATCCTCTTTATAATTCTTGCCTTCAATATAATAATATGGTTTTGTTTCTGCATTACAAATATTTTTAATCCGATGTAAGAGACTAAAACCACACCATATTACAATGATTTTTCAGCATACACTTGTGACTCTCGTACAAATACTGAACAATTACAAATTTGAGGGTGACAACATTTGACATCGTACTGTCACGTTTAGATTAAAAAATATATATACATGAAAAAATATTAAACAATGTTATATAAAATGAAAAATTAAGAAAACAAAGTTATATTAAAAAATTTAAAGACTAAAGTTGTGAAAAAAATTAAAGAACAAAATTAATTTTTTTATAAAATATAGGACTACATTATAATTAATCATTTTATTTACACACACAACAAGCATTCTAGATAACTACTCAAGTCTGTTTCCATAACGCATATTGATGGAGCACGAGAAGAAATTAGTGACAAAATTATTGTGAGTTATTATTGCCAAGACAAAAAAATGAGTTTACCTTATAGTTTTATGAATATTTAATGACTCATTCAATGCGTTTGACTTTACAGGTCATTTACTCACTTAATATTTTTTTTCTTTTTTTAAATCCTGAAAGCAAAAGAAAAAAAAAAAAAACTTGCCTTTTTATTTTGATTTTGACACATTAAGAAAAAAGAAGATAAATAAAATTACTTTGCCATTTTTAATTAATTTATCTTGGAACAACAAGTTTCTTTGGGATGAGTTTGGACGTTGTTTTCATATTTGAGATATTCCAATTAATGAATTGGATCACAACTAGCTCTCAATAGGAAAAAAGTATATTACGTGACGTGCATGCATAAAAGTTTTATTATTATTATTATTAAATTCTTAAAAGAGTATTTGACGAAGCAACCAGAACAACCACAAATGGTATTTTATTTAGTTGACTCCCACCTTATCCCACGTGAATTAAAATCTTTATTTTATACTCGAACTATTAATTATTATCGTCGTTGGATAACTATATAAGATGGTTTTTTTTTTAATCTTAAACATAATATTAATCATAATAATAATTATTTATATATTAACATTTTACTAGATTCACGTCTCAATTTATCATGTATTTTTTATAGGATTAATAACAGAAAAAATTTAAATTTATAAAAGAATTTAACGCCGGTTTCAACCACAAATCTTAAGAACAATCATTGATTAGTTTAACCAAATAATAAATTGGTGGTTGAACTACGATTAAATCCTAATTATACCAAATAATATTCAAATCAAAATATCAACCGATTAATTTTAGACCAATTCAATTACATGAAATAATTTTGGATAATAACTGTTTCTGTTTCTCTATTTTTTTTTCGAAATAAAAGAATAGAAATTTTAGTCAACCAAATGGATATTAAAATAAATTTAATAAATAATTCATGGGTCGTCTTCAATGCATTCATATATCATAATCATAGCCTAATAAATAAATAAATAAAAATTACTTTTTTGTAAGCTTAAAGGGAAATTAAGCACATGTGTTAACGCTATGTTATTACGCCACATACATGCCAGTGATGCAATCGCCAGATACGGAACATTTTCGATTTGATTCGCAGAAAACTATGATAAAAGAAATTTTACTTTGGCGAGTGAGAATAATAATATAAATGTTACATTACACGTTTCAACCGCAACCTTAGTTTTTTCAAAATAACATATAGATTATACGAGGTCATCGTGCAAAGTGCTTACCCATTTCGTGTTTGTTATCTTTCTTTGTCTCTCTCTTAATCAACTAACTATATCATCATCCACTAAAACAAAGGTAACTTATCCTCATAAGCGTTCATTCGTGATCATGACCATTACTATTTTCGTCACTAACAAACTTGTTTTTCAAATTGATTTTGATTTTTCATTGTTTTTGGTCAACAGATTGTACACGAAGTAAAACTGAACCTTGTGTTTTGCTCTGCTTCTGAAATCAGAAAATGAAGACAGATAGTCCTGTGGGTTACTTTTTCCTTCATCCATGCATTATCACAATTGAATCTATTTTTGTTGTGTTGTTTAATGTTTGCCAACGTTGAATGTTCGTTCCCTTGTACTGTTTCATTAGTTGTAATTTATTTCCTTTTAGTATATTGGTCTCTGTTTTCTTCTTTTTCCTTTTAGTTTGTGCAGAAGAACTATGAATTGATTGGTACATTAAATGGGTTAATTTTTTCATCTAACCTCTTTCCCTATTATTTTGCACCAGGAAATTTTGGATGCTGATTCAAAGAGTAAAAGATCATGCCTCTTTGGCATCGTTCCGGCGGTTTCTATATTTTGTGTTGTTTTGCTTTGCTCGAGTTCATTCTTTGCACAACGCTACAACGAGGTATATAAATGAATCCTTATCTTCGGATAAACCGGTGAAATAGTTTTTCTGCATGGTGTTGTTTCAAAATTGTTATTCCTCTTCCAAGGGGGTCGGTTGACCTGGTTGACTTTTTTCACCATAAATGCAAAATTTAGATTCAATTCATGGATCCTTGGTGGTGAATTCGGCGATGGATGTCTGTTGATCAAATAACCAATCGGTTTTGACTTTGACTTTAATTAAATAGGGGTTCGTGTTCCTCCAGATTTTGAACATGGAATATGATAGTTTTGGTTTTATACTGCAGAAGCTATCAAGATGGAGAATGAAAACCCATCTTACTTGCAAGGTTAGTTTTCTTACTCATCACGTAAATTAGAGAGTATTGGATCCATTGCTAGAGTTTACTGCTTAGGATGTTCAACTTTGGTGCTTAAATTTGCTTGTTTTGTTTAGAATCAGTGCAGGCCTGGTGGAAGTAGTGCACTACCTGAAGGCATAATCTCCAATACTTCTGATTTGAAAATGAGGCATTTGTGGAATCGTCGTCCTATGACTGAGACAATAGAGGCAAGTTTTAGTCATTCATGCCACTTCATACCAACAACACACGTTCTTTATTCTCCGAAATCCCTTAAAAGCACGTTCTCTTTGCGGTTTCTCGTGCTTCGTCTTGTTGCCACCATTTGCTGTTTACCCTCCACGTGTCCTCCTTGACTAACAGCATTTGCCACGTTTCGTTCTCTTTCCATTTTACTCGTTACAGTGTGTCAAGCTAATGCATGATTCTCACACCATAGTTCTCAATTTGCGATGGGTATAATGATAGAAAGAACTAAAAATGTGTATTCTTGTACTGTGTTAATAAATATACTAAAGCAAGAGTCAAGAATCTCTGTTCAGATATTCTGTTTTGTTGTATCAGGAGAAAGTTTGCCTTTGCAGACTTACATATTCTGAGTTTGAGTCTAAGCCTGCCATTAACTTCTACAATTTCTACACCCCATACAGATATTTTGGTGTAAACAAGTTATTGAAGTGGGCTAAGTTCACCTCAGTTATGCATTCTCTTTTATGCTATCTTTCTATGCTTGTTGTGGATATATTTTGACTTGGACACATTTGAACAGAATAAAGAAAACACATCGACCAATTTGTTTGCAATGACGGTTGGGATAAAGCAGAAAGACCTTGTGAACAAAATGGTCAAAAAGGTAACTTCAAGGAGTGTTCTGTATAGATTGTACTTTACTAGTATTCTAGTTTTGGTATGTAATGAAGGATGATTCTTCCTACCCCAAATTGCAGTTTCTAGCAAGTAATTTTGTCGTGATGCTTTTCCACTATGATGGCATGGTTGACGAATGGAATGACTTTGAATGGAGTAATCAGGTCATTCACGTGGCTGTAGCCAATCAAAGTAAATGGTAAAGGACATCTCATTTCGTTACAATCAATAATATGAAGAATTTCAGTGATTCATTTATCCTAAAAGCGTTTATTCTTGATTAGGTGGTTTGCCAAGCGTTTCTTACACCCGGACATAGTTGCAGAATATGGTTATATTTTCCTATGGGATGAGGATCTTGGAGTTGAACACTTTCACCCTGATAAGTATGTTCAGTTTACTCTGTACTCACTAAATTTGATTATAGTAAATTACGTAGTTTAGAACTAGCTGTTATAACTATTCTAAATGCTTGAAAAAAGTCTTATTATTATTAGTACACCATCTTAAGGATTAGTGATTGATATTATATTCTTCAATGATTTTAGGTATGTTTCTATTATAAAAAGTGAAGGACTGGAGATATCACAACCAGCACTTGATACTGAAAAATCAGAGGTACATCATCAGATTACCGCACGTGGGAGGAGGTCAAATGTGCACAGGTTCTCCTGTTTACTCTTTTTTCTGTTGTCAAAGGTTTTGTTAATGTCCTCAACCTGAACTAGTGAACGTTAATCGATAAATCATATTAAATTATTAAGTTTTAATGTGCATACTACTAGTGTCTATATTGAATATGCTTTTGGTCACTGTTCAAACAGAAGGATTTACAAAACTGGTGGTAGAGGCAAAGTTTGTGATGGAAGTAGCACTGCTCCTCCTTGTACAGGGTAAAAATTTGGTGGTAACATGTAATTTAATGAGGATTCCCTTCATATAACTATAGTTTAAGAAAAGTTCAACACTTGTTTCAGGTGGGTTGAAATGATGGCTCCTGTTTTCTCAAGAGCTGCTTGGCGTTGCGTTTGGTATATGATCCAGGTGCACCATTCTCTCATTTTAATCTTACTACTGCTTAAGAATTTATAAGCATTTCTTTGCTATGGTTACTCCATTTATTCATCATTTATAGTTTACTTCATTTTACAGAATGACTTGATCCATGCATGGGGTCTAGATATGCAGCTAGGCTACTGTGCTCAGGCATGTTAAGCTCCTTAATTTTGGTTCAGTTTGATGAATTTCAATTCTACATGTTGAATATTCCCCTAGTGACATTCTCCTTTTTCTTTTTACTTTATAGGGTGATAGAACAAAAAATGTTGGTGTTGTGGATGCTGAATACATAGTCCACTACGGTCATCCTACTCTTGGAGGCTTAGATTTGCATGAGGTAAGAAATGTTTGCAACGATTTTTAGCATGCTTTATACATGGCACGTGTGCCTCTAACTCTACTGAAAATTTTCTGACTTTGCAGGTTTCATCTCGGGCAAAGGATCATAGAGCTGATGTAAGTTACTCTTGTCACAACTACTTCAACCCAAACCATTGGCACATGCTTAAATTTTACTTCTGTTAAAAATCACAGTGCATTTTTCTGCTCCAAAATTACTCATTCAGATAGGTTCAGACTCCATTCTCATGAACATTGGTTTCTGAATGAACTTGTGCCAGGTCCTTGTTTGATAGGAAGCAAAAACATTTTTCTAAATCTACTGTTATGCATGCTCATTAGCCCAAAGCAAAATTATCTTAAAAAGAAGGAAAATTATATGTTTGGTTTTTTGAATTGGAAATTGTCACCTTCATTACAATTAAATATGTATCAGATGATTGTGGTATATGTCTATGTATATACCAGTACCCTTTATGAGGAAATTTTTATGTTAACTAATGGTATTTAGCCCTTAATCATGTCTAATAATGTTATGAACTTGGAAATGGTGCAGGTGAGAAGACAGTCTTACCGTGAATTACAAGTCTTTAGGAAACGGTGGCAGAAGGCAATTGAAGAGGATAAATGTTGGGTGGATCCATTTCAATAAACATAGTTTTAGTCAAATTTTGTATAGATTTTTATGAAAATACATGTATTTGTAAAGAGAACAAAATTCAATTGGCAATTTTAAAAAATGTTGATCATGGGTAGAAAAGGCATAGAAAAAAAATTAGCTTCTCAAAGTCATCATGTGTCTTCCTGGGAAAAAGAAATTCACCTTAAATTGAGTTTGGTTTATTGTTTGATTAAATTCTTTTATTATATATATATATATATATATATATATATATATATATATATAATTTGATTAAATTACAGATTTAGTTGTTATATTTTATTATTTATTTGAATTAGTTAATTTTTAATAAATAATTTTATCAAATATTAAAAAAAGAAAATAGCAATGTGATAACTTCTTTCCAATGGAAGCCGCATAGTCTATTATCTACGGGCCAAACTTTAGAATTGGAGGTTGACACTCCAACCACTAAGCTTATTAGGATATTCTGAAAATAACTTACAAATAAATTATATTTATATTTATCTCGTGTAAATATATAAATATAAAATATATAAATATATTCCGATAATAACTTACAAATATATTTGTATTTATATATTTAATGGTTGAAGTATCGGTTTTCAATTTTAATGGTTTTCAATTTTAATGTATTGAGTTCGAATCTTGTCGATTACAATTTTTTTAATTTAATATAATTTACCTACGGATAGTAATTTCGTAGGTAATTTATCTACTGAATTACCTACGAGATGACATTAACTACGGATCATATCCGTAGGTAATGGATAACTTACATACAATATATTTTAATTTGATATAATTTACCTATGGATAGTAACTCCGTAGGTAATTACCTACGGATAGTAATTTCGTAGGTAATTATCTACAAAATTACCCACGGATGATATTACCTACGAAAAATATCTCGTAGGTAATGGATAATTACCCACGGATAAAATTCCGTAGATAGTACTTGTATATAATGTACAATTTACCTACGGATTTTTATCCGTAGATAATATTTTGTAGATAATATATTTTCTTTTTTAGTGGTTAGTTTAATAATTTTGGGTAGCTTTTAGTTAAAAATAGTGACTTCTTTTTTGTTATCATATTTATCACTATTTTAAAATAAAATAAAATAATTTTTAAGGAATTAAAGTGATACTTAGATATCACCAATATCTATACTATTAATTTTAAATAAAAAATTGTCAAACAGAATATTTTAAATAAAATTCCAATTCTTGAATATTCAACCCATCCCTCAAGTTATAAGTGATTTTAAAATAATAAAGATATGGTAACACATAAAATGTCACTGTTTTAGTTTTTAAGTGTATTATTTTGTATAAAATTTTAAAATAATTTGAATTAAATAAATAATTAAATAAGTCACTTAACCTTTTATGTTAGTTAAGAAAAAAAATCATATTTTTTCTTTGGGAAATAACAATTATTGGTTATTTTCACAAATTTTTATAATTTGGTGCTTTTTACTTATTACACTAAATTATTAATTAATGATTTATCAACAGATATGTAGTCAGTCGGAAAATGATGGATTGTCGATGGATTGGAATTTGGTCTTCCAGACGGATATATTCGATCGGTAAATTAACAATTAATTATCGATGAATATATCCGTCAGTAAATTCGTTATTAAATGAAAAATTATTTCTTGACAAATATATCTATCAGTAAATAAATAATTATTTACCGACGAATATATCCGATCGGTAAATTAATAAAATAAACAATTAGTTATCGACGAATATATCCGTCGATAAATTAATAATTATTTATCGATAGACATTATCGACTGAATTTAAAGTATATTTTTAAAAATCAACATTAAATTAAAAAAATAAATATTTAAAATTATATAATAATTACTTAATTTTAAATATATTCTAATAAATTAATTATTCACCTAATTAAAAAATTAAATACTTTTTTTATTTAATAATTTAATTTAATCATAATTAAATTAATTTATAATTTATTAAATTAAATAATTTTAAAAATAAATATTTAAGTATTTTTAATATTGAAAAATTATTTTAATATAAGAATTTTAATTAAATAACAGAAAAAAAAAGATAAAAAGAATAAATTACAATAAACAAAAATTATTTTTTATCATTATATAAATAAATTATAAAGATTATATTCTATCATTAAATTACAAACCCGTATAAAGAGACGCGCTCACAAATTTGACATCAAAATTTTGAAAACTCAGTCCACACACACTTTTACCTTAGAGCGCACTCTCACATCTAACATATAAATATATAAAAATATATAAATATATAAATATATTTGTATTTATATATTGTATATTTATATAGATATACATTTATTTGTATATAAATATAATTTATTTGTAAATTATTATTAAAAATTTTTATAATTCTCTTAATCGAATAATAATTTAAATTTCTAAAAAATATAATAAATAATAAAAATAATAAATAAAAGGAGGGAGATCTCTAGATAAATAAAAAGTATTAATAAATAAATAAATTTTCTTAATCAAATAATAATTGAAATTTATAAAAAAATAATAAAATACCTACTTATCGATGGATATATCCGTCGATAATTACCAACAGAATTTTTAAATCCATCGATAATACTTACTGACAACACAATTTTCGACAAATTTCTATCCGTCGATAATATGTATTTACCCATGAGTGATTTCTCATTAATTAACTAAAACACTCTTTTGTCGCCCATCTTTTTCATTTTTTAAAATCAAAATCAATAAATTAATACTGTCTTATTGAATGTTGAGGGGTTTTATTTAATTTCCTTAGAAGTTATAAATAGTTAACATGTTTTATTTAAACTCATTTAACGTTTCTTATGAAAATACTTAATGCTTTTAATTTGTCAAATAAAAATATAATATTTTAATATTTTATAAGTGAAAAAGAATTTAATATATTCAAGGTAGGAAAAATATATTAATGGCTTTAATGGAAACGTATGTTAACGTTTCCCTTTCTCAAGACATAATTTTTATTTTATATTTACTATTTTATAAATTAAAATACATACAAATGTTAAATACTTTTAAATTATATTTGGTGGACTTAAATATAAATAAATTTTAATGTCCTAATATTTAGTGCAACTAGTTCAAAAATAATTTATATTTAAATCTAAGTATCAGTCACACAAAAATATATAAATGAAAACAAATTAAGAAAAATATATTTTTATTGCATGAAAAAAATATTAAATAAAATTTATTACTATTCCTAATTAGTTTTAAAATAGTTAATTTTATATACTAACACTTTATATGATGTTTTAAAGCATCTACAAAGTTATTTTAATTATGTTAGTGCTACATGTCACCTAAATTTTAATAACACAAAAATTCACAAGAAAGTTATTATTGATGTGATTATTTAATTAAATTATGTGAACTCTACCATTAATATACATGATAATGCATTTTTTTATCCCTAAAGAGTTTCAAGAGATAGTTATTTATATAAATTAATTATCATATTAAAAAATCAATGATGCAACAGTTTTTTTTTTCTCCACAACCATATTAAACAATACTCCTTACATTAAAAACTTGCATATGCTACTACCTTTTATGAAATTGAAAATTAATTACATTCCATATATACTTAATAACTTTTGACTACTGAAAATATCAAATATCTGTTTTATTTAAAAATTAAAATAATATAATTTTAAAAATATTTAATGATTTTAAATAAAAAAATATTAAATGATAAATGTTACAGTAAAGAATAAATAAATACTTAATGAAAAGAAAAATAACTAGTGAAAAGCATTTTATTTTCTTTCTTTTAAAAAATAATTAATGCATTTTAAGTTTATTTTTTCTTTGCAAAAAGCATCAAACATTGGAATGTATTTTTATTAATTAAAATAATAATTTTTTATCATGTGCATGTTGCATTAAACATTTTATTTACTCTCTTTCAGTCAATTTTGACCCAAATTAATTATAATTCCTTAAAGGTTATATATATATATATATATATATATATATATATATATATATATATATTATATATAATCTTGTTTTTGTCTTATTTTATAAAAATTTCATCCTTCATATTTTTCCCCTCAAACATCACTTTATTTCACTGTTTTTAAAACAATATTAAAAACCACTTTAAGACCGAAAGTAAAACAAAAGTTAATTACAGACGAAAACATTTTAAAAAATATATATCAAATATGAAAACAAAATGTAATAATTGATCAGGTAAAAAACATGTGTTTTAGAAAAAAGCTAATACCTCTTTGAAAAATTGTGATAATTATCTAAAAAGGTGATTCCATCTTAAGAGTATATTTCTAGTTTAGTGTGATTTTGTTTTTAAAAAATTATCAATAAATTATATATATATATATATATATATATATATATATATATATATATATATATATATATATATAATCTCATGTAAAACTCACCAACATATCAAATGATATTATCTAACAAAAATTGATAATTATCGTCGCCATCATTTTCCTTTTATCTCAAACTAATTTGTATAAGATAACAAAATTGTTAAATAATACTACCTCAATTTTAAAACTCTATTTAAGTTTTAACTTTTACAATACAAATTGAGTCAACACAAAGTAAAATATATAAAATAAAATCATTGCATTAATGTTACAAATCAAAATTACCCTTTTTATGGTTTTCAAAATACTTTTCCTATTAGCAAACTATCTTTAGATTATTGGAAATACGAAAAAGTTGGTTTTACAATATTTGTAGTAATAAATGTTTTCAAATAGAATTAAATTATTTTCCATAAAATATATGAAAAAAAAAAAAAAGTGATGGTTCAATGTATATAATTAAACGGTGCATATATAAGGTTCAAATAGATTCAATAACCAAAGCAAAACCAACCATGAAAGCAATCCATACTGAAGAAAAACTCTAAACAGCCATATGAGTATAAGGTCCAAAAGGCTTATTGAAATCATAAAAATACCATAAAAGTCTAAACTTTCATAACTCAAAGCACAAATACTAATCGATGCTCCATTGCCAAGATGAATTCAGTCATTGTTTGGCATCAATTCAAATCCAACTTATCAGCATTACCTGAAACATGAATGAACATATATACACATAACCACACAAATCTTACTTACCAAAAATCTCAAGCACGTGTGCATGATTAGAAAAACTTACCATTCTTTTTCGCCATTTCCAAGGCAAAACACCTCAAATGGGGGTCCAAATGTAATCCACGCAATGCAAATGATGGATCATAAAGTGTGTTCCTTGTATTGATCCTACATTCGTGATGATAGAACATAATAAAAGAAAATCTCAAACGTGCTTGCATGTATATGTTAAATATATAGAATGAAAAATACTCACTCTGGTTGCTCACTATTGTTAAACAACAACAATCTCAAATGGGGATCCAGAGGTAATCCACGCATTTCAAATGAAGGATTATAGACTGAGTTTCTGAAAGCCCTATATTGATGACAGAATAGAAGAATATAGAATATAAAATCTCAAGCATAAGAATAGAATACAATATAGCCCTACATTGATGCTAGGTTTATCTAGTACAGACAAATATTATATATGTATATCAAAGTGTGTAATGTTGATGTTTGAGTTGAGAATTCAACTTACTGTGGTGGGGAAGGGTTGCTGACTGCTGCTGGTGGTGGTGTTGGTGGTGGGGAAGGGTTTCTAGTGACTGGAATAGTTGGATAAAGTGATTCCAGCAGAGGCTCTTCAATGTTCATTCTCATCTGGATTATTCAAAGAAATTTACCATAAAAGTTTAGCACTTAATTTTCGAGTTAGAATCATTCCCACAAAAAAATATTGACAGATAAATAAAGTGCATGGAACTGAAACATTGCAGATAGAACATACCCTAACATTCCTTGCTGATGAAGACTCTCCAACTTCATACGAATCAAGGTGAAGGCCCAACATTCCTTGTTGCAGAGTCTGAAACACAAGGAAAAGGGTATATAAAAGAACAAAAATCACGTTTTGAAAGCATTATTCAATTGCATGATGTAGATAACATGCAAAATATATGCTAGATAAATTGAGAGTACATAGAGAAAACAGCAATTCCTTTATTAAGTACTCTAATTATATTCCTTTTCTTACGAAATTTCTGATTAATTTTTGGTAAAAAAATTGTATGAAATAAATTTGTTGTAAGATTCAAACAAATTTAGGAGGAAAAATTCTACAAAATATGAAAAGTTCAAGAGATAAGAGTGTCATGTACTATTTATAAAAATAAATACAAAATTAAGACTAGTAATTTATTAAGATTATCCCTCACATAAAAGTATTTGATTCATTAGTTAAATTAATAAATCATTAGTTAAAGTGCATCAATTAATTATTACATCTTGAAAATCATGAAAAAAAAAAACTCTCCATTTATTTTAATAAAACGTCACTCCTAAAAATATCCATAAGTTTCAATCCTGTTAATGTTTTTCTCTCTCTAATACACATAATACATGTTTGGATAGATATGTTATGTCACCCAAATGAATTATGTTGTTGAATAAAAAAAAAGCTCAATTAACAGAAAAAAAAAAGATGATAAAAAATGAGCATATATATACCTGTTGAGTGGTTGGATCCATGGTGGATCCAACCCTAGCATTCCTGGATGATGACTCTCCTATTTCATAGGAGTAATTAGGATAAAAGCTTGAAAATCCTTGTTGCGGAATCTGAAGAAGAACATTAAGGAAAGTGTTATAAAACAATGGCATAAAGTTAAGGAATCAAAGCAAATATTCATTCTTTTGCACTCTGTCTATCATTTAAATGAAGGTGTAAAAATATAGTTTCATGGAATAGAAAATTGAAAACGAAATTAGTGATAAACCTGTTGAACATTTTGAGATTGAGTTTGCATTGGGAGTCCTAGATTAGGGTTAGGGTTAGGATATTCAACTGAACGACCCAGCACTTGTTCAAACTGAATCTCATGGATGGGTTCAGGAAATTCAGATGCATGATCCCTGTATGAATTGAAGCCATTAAAAAAGAAAAAGAAAATTGTTAGGATATAAAATGAACAAATGCTAATTATTAACTGTAAAACACACACTTACTCCAATTAATATATATATTAACTGTTCTTTCCCAAATATATATACAATTACAAGAAAATTTAGGATAAGACTTTCCAAAAAATAACAAACACTAGAGATAATATAAATGAACTTGTTTTCTGATAATATAAACTAGAGTTTTAATCATAAAAAAAAAGTGAAATAAAACCATTAAAACGAATGAGCCTCACCATTTAGGGTTTGATCTGTCACCGATCTGTAAAAAGGACACTATCCTTTGTTTTTAAAACGAGGTATAAATCTTACCATGCTTATGAATGAGATTTAAAGTTAAAATTAAAAGTAAAATTATCTATTTTATAAATTTAATTTAAAAAGTCAACTAAAAAATATAAATTCGTAATGAAAATTAATTTATTTTTATTTATATGTTAAATTTTGTATGAGAAAAACTAAATTTATTAAATAAATTAATAAAAATATATATTATAATTTCTTAAAATTATTCTAATTAAAATTTAGTGTATTTTTTATTTTTTTACAAGAATAATAGATTGATCCGAATCGATCTGGTAATAACTTATAAGACTACGACGAACTAGATCGTAGGATTAGTTCATGCGATTAAACAAATTCAAACATCTCCTTATACATCAATGAACGAATCGATCGTTTAGAAATAAATCCAATTTATTAATTTAATTACCAGTGAAAAGAATTAACAAATTAAAATTTTGACAAAATTTTCAATCTCAAAACACCCAATTTGGTTTTAAAACATATTAATAAAAATGAAAATAAAAATAAAAATTATATGTTCATTAAAATTCTATAAATACCTATTATATCAAGTATACTTTGTAAAGAAATTCATATAACACTTATAGAAGATAATAAATAAATAATAATAAAAAAAACATATCTATTCACAGTGACAAGATCTTGCAAGAAATTAAAATTGTGGTAGTAAATAATTATTCTGAAAAGGAATTGATGAAAGAATAGTTTTAAAATTGAAAGATGTGGTCAAAATTCAAACTTGAAGACTCAGAATGCACAGATCTATGCAATTAGTAAAGAAGTGAATCAGAATTTGTGGAAGTGATTTACAAGGAAGAAAGTGGCATACCTTCTCCTTGACATTGTAGCACTGCTAATAGAGAAAGAGGAAAAAGAGGACCAAGGAAGATATACTCATTTCAATGTATTTATTGTGTATTTATACCTAATAAAATACTATGCAATTATATTTAATTATTGTTTTTTTTTTGCATCATATATATTTATCTTTTTCTGGAAATATTAATAAAATATTATACTTTCCTTGTTATATAATCAAACCGCTATTCAAAATTAACCGACAGTGAAAAGCTGTGTAGCTAGCTGTATTCTTAGACAACTCAAAACTTTGTTTTACTGTCCATTCTCAACATCTAAAAATCATTGTAAAACGGTAGTTAGTTACAAAATGTCATCATGATTTCGTTCTTCACCATTAATCATGTTTATCATCAACGCGTATCCACCTCATCTTTTTATCATTAAATTGTCGTTTCAGTCTTTGAATTCATTGATTATGGTCACACTACTCTCTAAAATTACAAAATTAAAATATAATATCAAATAACTTCTTAATAGTCTTGTTAGTTTCATTAAGAACTATTATAATAAGTCACAAAATTATGAGTTATTATTATAATAATAATAAAAAAAATTACATATTTTAGAGACTAAAATGACCATAGTTTTAACGCTAATGATTTAATTGACATTTTCTATTTAGGGACTACAATGACAATATTTTACTAATTTATGGACTAAAACAAGAGTTTGTTTTATCTTCTGAATTGGAAAAGGATAAAACATCAACATAGGTTAAATAATGTTTTATGTGGAAAATAATTATATTTAAATTAGAAGATAAAAATTATGATAACCTAAAATAGTATATATATCATGTATTGTATTATTATTTTCTAATTGATAATTAAATAATGTGGAATTAAGATAAGAAAAACAAATATTATCTCATGAAAATAATATATTTTAATAAAACAAGAGTAAAATATATTTTTTATAAATAATTATAATATAAGTTTATCAATATATTATATTTGAAAATATTTACATTTTATGGGTATTTCGAAGGAGATCTATGAGGGAAAGACAACATCAATGAAGTATGAGTTCAACTCATATAAAAGATTAATATCATTTGAAAAAAAATTTGAAGTTATTAGGTTTTAATGAGGTCTATAGGATCAGGTAAAAGGTAGTTTTGATCCATAACAAAATGATAACTCTTAGTCTAAGACAATAACAAAAAAGAAGATAAATTTTGAATCGACATCATATTAATATTCTAAAATAAAATCAATTAGCAATATGGGAAGTAGTCTAATAGACATTCAAATCATACCACATGACATAAGATAGACAACGTAGAACTTTCAAAACTTTTTAACCTTGTATCATTTGTTAGTTACATGTCATTGTCATTTTAAAGCTAAAAAAAATAGATGATTTAATTAATTCATATATTTTTTTATTTAATATCAATGTTATATTAATTTTAAATAAGAAGCATTTTCAATGAAAGTGCCTATAAATAAAATATTAATTGTTTCATACATATTTTTATTTAAGGAATTATATATCACATGATAAGTTATTTAAATTTTTTTATAATTAATTTATTAAGTAACTTACAAACTAAACAAACACACAATAATTAAAGAGAGATAATGATTATTTTAAAATTTATTAAGATAATTTTTATTTGAGTAAAATCAAGGATGAATTGATTAAAAATAACGTGTCACATATTTTATATTTTTTAAGATAAAAAATAGTTCATATGAGTTACTCCATTGTAAATGTAATTAATTTATTCATATTATTTATTCGATGTTATTAAATGTCAAGAAGGAAAGAAAAGATTTTTTTTTAAAAGAAAGCTTAAATATATCGTTTATGAAGAAAGTGATATAAAAAAATATTAATTTTAAAAATAACAAATAATTAAATTAGAATTAAATATTTATTTAATTATAAAATTATTCATATAATTATTAATTATGTTTTTTATTAATAAAATAACTTTTTAAATTAATTTATATTTATTTAATAATATATAATTTGATATATAATTATAAAATAATTTTATTATAATTTTATTTAAACTATTTGAATTTAAAATTAACAAAATAATATCATATTAAATTATTCATTCAATTTTTATAATTATTCTATTTTTATAATATTTTATTAAAATATAAATTAAAATTATAAACGTAAAAAAATATTTATTTATTTAAGTGAAATATATTTTTTTCATTTTTTTATATGTGAAAGAAAAATAAAAATATACATTATCATGAAACATGATATATTTTTTTATTATTTTTTTACTATCAAACAAGAATGATATTTATTTTTATTCTTTTAATATTAATCACTTTTCAGTCAAAAGCCGAAAAATCAAGTTATTACTTAATTGGGTTATGTGGTATGTTTATCTGATATGATTAATATTAAAACTGAAAGATCAGATTACTTAATGTGATCGCATCATTTATCAGTCTGATATTAATAATAAAGCCTGACAATCAGGGTTACTTTTGGTCATGTCATTTGTATGTTTAATCTCAATGTTGTATTAATATTAAAACTGAAAAATCATATTACTTAATTTAATTATATAGTTTATCTATTTAATTTCATGGTAAATATTAATGTTGATAGATACTACTTAGTTTAATTAAAGTTTTGATATTAGTGTTGTTTGGTCTAATCTAAATTAATTTACATATTCAAAATATTGCCGTTTTAAAACTTTTATTTATTATAATTTTATATTTAAAATATATTTCATTATATTAAAAAATAAATATGACTTTAAAAAATAAACATCCTTGACCTTAACCTTGCTTATTTATTATAATTTTATATTTAAAAGATATTTTATTATATTAAAAAATAAATATGATTTTAAAAAAATAAACATCCTTGACCTTAACCTTGACCGTAAGCAACATGGAAGTGTTTAAATAATACACACCTAAACATATTACAACTTTTAAAATAAATATCACACAGCAATTCTTTTAATATATTCATCGATAATTTGATTTAATATAACCATTAAAAGGATTATTAAAAGGATTAAAAACTATATATTCATGAAAACTGTTAATGGATGGATTAAATTAAAATTTTATTGAATGAATTAAATTAGATTATAACATCAATTAAATATTTAGTGATTAAAATTGATTAAAGAAGTTTTTTTTTATTAAATATTGATGTGTATACATTTTTTATTATTATAAGTCTTAATTATGTCTGTGTTTGGACAAACGAAAAATATGAACCCTAATTGTTTTGATATAATAAACGAAAAGTGTTACATATTTTTTATAATTAGTTTTTGAAATAAGAGGAATTGTATTTTTTTTTTTTTAATTGTGGCTCCCTTTAAAATATGTGATGTATAAGAAAAATATACTCCAATCGCACAAAATTTAGCAATACACGTTACAATCACATAAGAAAAATTAATCCAGTTTTTAATTTAAAAAAATAATAATTTTAAACTCTGACCTTTTTAATTGTTTTTTTTTAACTTATAATCAATTATAGTTAATTTAAAATTTAAAAGATAATGAAGAATATTTGAAATAAAAATAATTAGCTTTTTGAAACACATAATAATTTAACTAAATAATATATTTGATGTTATTTTATTTTCGTAGAATAATTTATTTTAAACACTTTTATTAAAGATAATTTTAATTTACTTATAGATATGCTTTTAACTTATCATTTATTAATTTTAATTTATAATTTAAAATGATTGTAAAGTTATTTATGTGTAATGGACAAAGATTTTATATCAAAAGATAAATATTTACACTACAAAAATAATTTACTGGGACGCAAAACCTATATAAACCAATTAGTTTTAAATTGTGAACGGATAATTTTGTTAGATATTTTTGAGGGGGCATTCTTACAAATGGGTCATGAGTAATCCATATAAGAGAATATGATATCACTTTCAACAAAAAAATCTTAAGGTAATAGGTTATGGGTCTTTCTCACTTGTAAGTTACTCATCTTTCTCATTTCTACTAAATATGGGATTTCAAACTCACACTTGAATTCTCAACATCTTCCCCTCAAGTATGATTCTCTTTCACATTGGTATACCTCCCCTTCGAGCGGAAATATTTTTTTTTTAGCCATGAGTATCTAGTAATTCAAGTGTGATTCTCTTTCACATTGATATACCTCCCCTTCGAGCTTAAACATTTTTTTTTAGTCATGAGCCGGTCACTAGACAAAGACCTTTCACCTACCATACTCAACTGAGTCAGTCGCCAGTCTGACCACTGTTAGGTATTTTCGAGGGGGCAAACAACAAGGAGATTCTTAAAAATGGGTTATGAGTCAACCATATAAAAGAATATGACATCACTCTCAACCCAAAACCTTAAGGCAATAGGTTATGAGTCTTTCTCACTTATAAGTTACTCATCTTTCCCATTTCCACCTAATATGGGATTTCAAACTCATACTTGAATTCTCAACAATTTTTTATTATTATTTTAAAAAAGAATTTATTATTGTTGTTCTTGGTTACTTTATGTATTTATATTTTGTTAATAAAATGTTAATGACAGAACTTTCTTAAGTGGGGTGAATTAGATTTTCAAAAATCTTTTAAATTTTTAATCAATTATTTAAAGAATTTTTTTCAGATAATCAATTATGAAGGAATTATCACAGTTTAGAAAAATAAGTATATCAAGATAGAGAGAAGAAAAAAACACACAAACTTATACTGGTTCGATCTTCTTGAATCAACATCCAGTTTTAATCAAACAACCTTAGCCTGAAGTTTTTCACTTAATAACAGATTTACAATCTAATCAAATGATCTTGATTTACAACAATTTCTGGTCAAGATCACAACACTTGAAAATGTTCTACCTCATAATTTTCAAGTTACTCTGATGTAGTTAGTTTCACATACATAAAAAACTTAAGAACAAGATACAAAAGAAAGATGGAAGGAATTCACCTTGATTCCCAATTTATTTCTAATTGCTTGTGTTTGTATTTTGAAAATTGATATTGATTAAAGAAAGTTTGCATCCTTTTATAAAAAGAAAATTGTTGTAACTATCACAGATAATCGATTAGCAGATTTATCTAATCGATTATTTGAGTACAGATGGTAGTTTGAAAATACCCGGATAATCGATTAGGTGGTTACATAATTGATTATTAGCGCGTTGTGTTAAAACAAGATTTTTCACAAATAATCGATTAAGCAACCATATAATTGATTATTAATGCATCTTATGAAAACTAAATTTTAAGTCATATAATCGATTAACCTTTTATCTAATCGATTAGTAATGCATTATGTTAAAACAAAATTTTTGACAAATAATCGATTAGATGACTATATAATCGATTATTAGCGCGTTTTATGAAATCTTAATTCTTAAGTCATATAATCGATTATTTCTTTATCTAATTGATTATTAGCACGTTGTTTTAACATATTTGATTATTTAAAGTTTGATTTTATACAAACTAACTACCCTAATTACCTTGACATCATCAAAAAAATATTTTCTAGTTTATCTTCTCTCTTCATTAAAATATTTTTTTATATTATCAATTTCTATTTTAAACAATATTTTTTATTTTATCATAATAAAAAACCTTATTTATTCTTTATAATATAAAAAGAACTATTATTTTCTTTCCACTTTTATGGAAACGTACGGTATAATAACTTGTATTTTCTTTTTGCAATAATTATTTTTTCTATATTTTTCTCCAATTTTTATATTATAATAAAAATATTATTTTTATTAGATAAATATTTTATAATAATGATTAAAAAATATTATAAAAAATATTTTTTATATTTAAGTATAACTAGTTTATACTATTATTCAAAGGATTTTCTTTTTATAACCATTTTTTAATCAAGTGAACTATTTTCGCATTTATCAAATAAAAATTAATTTGATTATATGATAAAATACAAATTAATAATCACATAAAACAAAAATACAATAAATTATATATTTGATTAAATTATTATTTATATAATAAATAAAAATGCATAAAATAATAAGAAAAAAATATTTTGACACTATTATTCACACATACAACTGCATTTTATACTATAATAATAATTTTAACTTTTTTTATTTATTTTTATTAAATATTTTTCATGGTTATTATATTAATAAAATGAATTATTTTTTAAAGTTATTTTCTTATAAGGTTGTCAATATATCATGGTTCAAAATAATAATATTATTGTATGTAATTAAAATTAATATAAAATTAATTTTAACTTATTCAAATAAGTTGATGTGCTAAAAAGAATGCAATTTGTACAAACACAATTATCACACGTTTGACGTATTCAAATACCAGTTTTTATGTTTGTTTCATCATGTAAAGAATTGTTTGAAATGTGAATGGCACAGTTTCTGAAGAACCATTTTTCATTTTTGAAAACCCTAATTTCTGCAACTCATTGAATTCGTTCACACTATCAATCCCTATAAAATTCTGTTACCAAATTATTGAATCCAAGTCCGTGAATGAGACTCACCAAAATTAATAAATGATAAGAGATGTAGGATTCGTGTGCTCCATGAAACTAATTAATATTCTATTTTAAACCTTTCCTATACCTCTGATTTTTTTCTGGCACTTCCCATAGTTTTGTAAAAAAACCCTTTCAAATTTATGACAAGTGTCATAAGAAAATTGTGTAACAGAAAAAGTTTGATCCAAATCCAAAACTATATAAAAAATCTATAGCAAAAAGTTAAGGTTTTTAAAGTTTCCATCAGCAAAATATTAAAATACCAATCTGGTGAAGTAAATAATTTGCTTGGTATGTGGTGCAAAGAGAGTAACTATAATTCACATGGACTTGGCAATCAACATAGATGCAACCAACTAGCTGGCTCATAGTGAAAAAAAAATTATGATTCAGCCACAAACAACCTATTCCTATTTGATCCTTAAAATATGCTTTCAACAGCACATGGGTTGTAGCCCAGATGAGGTCAGAAAGATTCCCAAACAATGTTCACTCACAAGACACACATCAGACTCAGATGCAACTTCGAATCCTCATATTTAACAACAATAATTATGAATATCCATGCTTTATAAACATTAGTACTGTGCAAGAAATCCAACAAATGCATCTATAGCTTACAAAGACCAAGTTTGATTGTGTTAATGCATGTGGCTTAGACAGCAGTGAACCAACAACTTACAAATGCAGAAGTAGGTTTGCTGAAGCAAAGGCTTAACTGCCCTTCTCCAACCCAACCACCACCCACCTTAATATAATAGTATACGGTTGGGTACACCAATATGCATTAATATCATCACATCCATCTTCACCACCAACAATTAAGACTCATCTACATAGGAGTTTTTCACCAAAATTAGCACTCCTCAGTGCCCTCTATCTAAGGTGAGTGTAAAAAGCTAACCCATCTGCCCCTGTTGTCTCCCTCTAAGGGTGCCCCGTTTATCAATTCTGGGACCACCCTAACTGATAAGCATCACAGATGCCCTTCATAGTTTTATGGTCCATGAGCCACCGTTTTACTTTGCCTAAAAGTTTGGCTATAAATCTTCATTTCTTGCATCCAACTCGTGGACTAGAAGTAGTAAAGAAACAAATCACAGACTGACTACTACAAAGATAAGAGCTTTTCAATGTAGGAAATAATAATACATTCATTGATAGTGTAAAAGTATTTAACACTATCACTCTATAACATTCCGTTATGTAAGGTGAGTATGCTGATTTTTAAAATAACTGTGTCAAAAGTCATACTAATAACAAGTGAGTGATCTAATCTCATGAAGAGATGCATGAAGTTATTTCATGCCCCAGAGAAAACAAATGCGTGAGGGTAGTGAGGTAATTGCAGGATGAAGAAAGGGTGTGTGGTGGAAGCAGCAAAATATTACTAGCAGATACGAGAAATCAGCATTAAAATATTCAATAAAAAAAACCATCAATAGTGCAATCTGCATAGGAACATCTTATCGTTAAAATAAACAAATGAAACAATTAAAGAAGGAAACCACAAGTCGTCTTAACAAAATTTTAACAAAATGAGAATAAGTTGTAAAGCTGAATCATGGTCCTGGCAAAACGACAGCCTCACTGAGCACTTGCATTACTATAATCATTCAAAAAAGTGAAAAATTATCATGAACCCCAGTATCTCCACATAAAGGGACAAGGTTTTCTTGATTCCCCATGTACTACATATAATTATATCATATATTGCTATTCTGACAATCAGACAATGTGCTATATCTCCAAGCACCCCTAACAAATCCCAGTGAGCACAGCAGAAGGAAAAAAGAATTCCTGAAAATAACAATCCCCAAATAATAATTGTAACTAATACTAATAAACAAACTAACCAAGAACAGATATTCTTCACTTCACTTCCCATTCACACTTGCAACAGAATGAACTAAAGATAACCTTCAATTTTTTTTTTCAAATTATTACTATAAGATGATAATAGGGGATTAAGGGACAAGGACTAAAGATGGCATCCAAAGCAATTACAGGTCTTGGGTGTGAATGAACAGAAGCCAAAAGGTCTATGAGGAATGTTGCAATTGATGGCGTAGCAACAAGGAGAGGGCAAGCAAACCCCTTTTGCTCCACCACAGCAGGTGCACAAGGCACATATCTGGAAGCTTCCAAGTTTCCTTCTGCTCTCATTCATCATCATCATTTCCATCTTCCCAGCCTCCACCAAGGGCACCATTGGAAATGACCCATTTGACTCCTAACCATAAAAAAGCAATCTTTTTCAATTTACATCACTACCCAAGAGAAAATTCACAGAGAACATTACAAGGGAACCAAAACAAGTAGAAGGATCGAAGAATCAAATTGAAAAATGAAAACTTTTATTGTGTATGTGTGTGTGATAGAGAGACAGAGATAGAGAGGACTCACTTGGACCAAGCTTGCCTCATTGGCTAAAATCGACACAAAAATGAGAGAGATGATGAGGCCATGAGCAGGCATCATGGTTGGTTGGCTTGTTGGTCAGTGACAAGTGCTTCTAGCTCTTAGGTTTGTGTATGGAAAGGGGCTGGGGATAATCTTGTCTTGTGTGGACGAGCTTCAAATTGGTGTATCATAAATGTGTATTTGGTGCCTATTTATATATAAAAAAATAATATTAGAGCTTTGGCTTGGTTTGATAACCAAACAGAATAGCTAGTTTTGCAGACTGCACAAGGAAAAAGTATAAACTGAGAAGACTGGAGAAAATGAATGATGTGTTGGAAGTTGGAAGATAGAGCTAGAAAAGAAGGGCAAGGACAGGAACAAGAACAAGGGTTTCCTTTGAAAACAGAGGCCACAACACAGGAAGTGTCCCTTTTGGTTTCAAGAGGAAAGAGAACACAACAACAAAAACAGAGAGAAGGAGAGAGAAACCATGGAATTTATTTATTTGGGAATATCAAAAACGAATTCTCTGTCTCCACCTCACTCAAGTTAAATGTGTAAACTCCCCTTTTTTTATCTTCAACCCAAATGTATGAATGTCTGTAAACCTAATAAAGGCAGGAATTTTTTTAAAAGGGAAAGCATTGTGCAGTAAAATAAGAGTCCTCAGTGCTGTAATAAAGAAACAGAACAAAAGAAATTAGTGTGGACCTCATCGCATTTATTGGGTTTGGGTGAACAGAAGAACAGATATATAGAGAGAGACAGAGCATATGGGACTTCACTAATTCTCTGGTCTTAATGGATTGAGTTTGAGAGGATGCAATTTGGCACTCAAATAGAGGGTTACATTGGAAATTGCAGTTTCTTCAAGTTGGTCTACACGGTTTTCTAATGGGTAGGGTTTGGTTTGTTCATTGGCTTAATAAATTTAAATATATTTTAATTCTATTTTTTAGAAATAACATATTATATATATATATATATATATATATATTTTTTTTTTTAATTATGTGAATATTTTTTTAAGTTGTAATGAGTCCATTAGTATTTTTAATTGAATGCTACGTTTAATAGTTTAATTATAAATTTTATTTTATTTTGATTAATTATTTTTTATATTTTAAAATAATATAATAATTTTAATAAAGTGTAAACAGATTGATATACCAGTACACCCGTTTTCTTTATGGTGACTTAATCTCTTTTATCATCTTACTAAATATTTTATTCCTCCAAAAATAATTATAATTAAACTTAAGAATATCAATAAATATACCAATTTTTAAAATAATGTCAAATAATCAAACTCATTAAATAAATACACATTTAAAAAGAAATTGTTATTTTTTATAAGATACTTTATAACTTTTCATATACTTAAAATTTGTTTTCTTTCTTATCCTTGAAGTTTTTGTTGTATTTTGTATTATGAACAGTGAAAATTAATTTTATGAGTTATTATATTTTTTTTAAATGATAACTTCTTTATTGCTTTGTGTAATTATACTATAAGTGTTTTATATTAATGAACATTCGAGTATTTTAAAAGAGTAATAGAGATTCGAATAAATTAGAAAGAGAAAAAAAAGTTAATTTAACTTTTTTTAGATGATTAAAATTTAACTTCGTCTAAAAATGAGAGAATATATATATTTTTTTTAATCGATCATATTATCCATAGTTGGTGGATCTTCTTGGGAGTTGAGGGGTCGTGACCCCTTCAAAATTTTGTAACTCTAATGTAATTTATGATTTTGGCCCTCAAACATAATGAACATTTAATATATTTACTTGTATATTTATAATTTTATCCTCTCAGTTCCTTCTAAGTTTTGTAACTCTAATGTAATTTATGATTTTGTTTCCTTCAAACTTAATGATCATTTAATATATTTAAGTATATATCTACAATTTAATCTTTTTATCTTTTCACCTTTTCATATTCTTTCTTCCTTTTATATTTATTTATTATTTATTAATAATATATTATTTGGTCCCCCAAAGTCAATGGTCAATATCGTCACATCGTACATAATAAATATGTATTAATATTTTAGGGCATCTATTTCTTTCGAACTGGAAATTTTGAAAAACATTATTTCTATTTCAATACTGATTCAAAATATCAAAATGATAATAATTTCTATCTCTAACCCTAATAAGACTCTTATGAGAGTTTTTCTCTTACCAAACTCTAACTGATGATGAATGATAAAATAAAAACCGATGATTAATTTCAAAATATTAAATTTAATTAAGGAAAAATAACATCTAATATCAATCATGTGTAACAAAATTAATATTAATTACCTATTTAACTAGAAATTATAAGTTAACTGAAAGGGTTTTATAAATAAGAATACAACTGGCACTTTATAATTATAAAAGACAATAGTATATTTGGATTGGCATTAAGTCAACTCATTTGAAGTCAATAAAAGTCCAACATATTTAATGTGTATTTTAAAAAAGTGTATCTAGAAGGAAACATTAAACACTCATTGAACCCAAAAGTACAAGTTTAGTGTTAGTCATTTACATATCTATACTCGAATAAGAACAATTGTGACCTAGAAGTTGATAACAAGAACTTCATGAAAAGTGAAAATGTCTTTCCTTCACCTATTCCATCATATAAAACAAAATATAAATAAGTAAAGTTACTAGTTATATATTCGAAATTTGACTAATTAATTACTCCTTTAAGTTTATTTATTAAATTAAATAAACAAATTTAAACTATCGTTTAGATTTAATTATTTAACTGACCTAAGTTTAAATTTTAAAAACGTTTCTTAGTAACTCGTTTATATTAGTTTATAATAGAAGGTAACGAATTTGTTGTTTTATCAAGGTGTTAGTTTACTTGTTTCATAATTGACGATATGATTATTATTTTTTTAGGAAAATTGATGCATATTTTTTATAAGCAAATTAGTTTCAAAACAAATTTAAATAGCTGAAATGTAATTTAAGAAAAAAACATAAAAATAAATTTAATTAATTTATAAATGAGTTATACAAATCAAACACAATCTTAACAATTCCGTAACATGTCAGGCTCATTTTTTAATTCACTTGGATGAAATAAATGAGTCAAAGTTAGTTAAACTTTTAAAAAAAATAAAATAAATCAAACACAGACTTTGAAAATTGTGCTTGACTCAACTAGTTTTCTCTTATTTGTGAATATATAATCCTAAAATAATGGGATAAAGTAGTCTAAGACATAATAACAAATAAAAATTATTATTATTATCATAAAATGAAGTTCAAAATAAATTATCAAACCAAAGAACAAAAATAGAACAAAATATAAAAAAATAATTAAAATTTTTTAACAATAGAAATAATTGAAATATATTTTAAAATATCACTGACATTAATTTTGTCAAATACATTTAAAATAATTTAAATCACCTCCTCTTGCCCCACGTCTCTCCAATGTTAGAGGAGAATAAAAATTAGATGACAAAAAAAAGCTTACTCCCTTCCATTTGCTCCTAAGATTGAACAAGAAAGAAAATTTGAAAAAAAAAAAAAAAAAAAAATCTCATTCCCTCTCTGCCTCCGTATCTCCTTTAACCAAATACTATACTAAGGAGAGAAACAGAGAGGAGTGTTGGTATAATAAGTTATAATGTCTAAATAAAATTTGTGTGATGTTAAGATATCTATATATAATTACTCTAAAAAAATATATGAAGTATGATGTAATTTGTTCATTTTAGTTCTTATGAAATTTTAATTGTACATTTTCTTTTTAAATTTTTTAAAATTAAACAATTTTAGTCCATTATTAACTTGTTTTTCAATTTTAATAAAAATAATAATAACATATTTGTTAGAATAAGAAGTGTTGAAACTTATTATCAAACCTTATTGTTAATATCCTACATGTTAATATGTTACATAAATAAATAATTAATAATCTTATCACTACATTCACATACATAAATAATATGTGAAATATAATAGTAGAAAAAAACATTTAAAAAAAGTATGATTAAATTTTAAATTAAAATTATATCACAAGACCATAAGACACAGTAAATGATTTTAAGTCAATAAATAATTATTTTAATTTCACATGAATTTGAATTTTCAACATGAATTTGAATTGCCTAGCTGTATCTGTGCTTTCACATGAATTTGAATTTTCAACATTTCATAAACCTGTCAACCACTCGGTTTGAAATTTTGTTACTTTACAGTAATTAGAAACGCATTATGTGGGCTTTTGCAAGATTTTATAAGATATGATAAATATAACAGACAAAAAAAATCATAAAACAGTCGCAATACATTAAGGAAAAGTTGAAAACTTTTTGACTTGCTAAAAGTATTCATAATGAATAAAAATATCCTGAACACATATTTTTGTAAAGTTTTTATTTGCGCATCAACTGTCTACCTAATTTCATTTACTAGTGGTCTCAGTAGAGATATTAGTCAATGAAGGGAGAAAGAGGGGGTTCCGCATCCACATGTCACCAAACTTAGAAAAGGGAGAAAGATTAACAGCTTTGTTCCTTCGGACATACACAACTTTAAATTCGTGCAAGCACTGAATTGTTGGCAAAAACACATAATGGTTTAGATAGTGACTGGGGAAGGCTAATATCAGAAATAACAAAAGCATGTAAACAATCTATCGTATTTACTAATCCTTTTGCATTGGGTAGTTAATATGCTGCATCTGTTTAGTGTTATCCACGATTTTAAATTTCAATAATATTTTCCCACAACAGAAAAATCCAATCAGAACTAATTTTCCCATTACAAAGAAAAAGAAGTCTAAGCAGTTCAGATTTTAGCCCAGATGACTCGCCTACTAACTTAATAAATGCTGTATCCCACAGAAGCCCTACATTTTTCTGCGGGTTATTTAACCAATGAAAGTTGAAAATGCAAATTGACTCGTCATAACATGTTTGGTTCCACGTCCTCAAGCAGGTAAAAATTTGCATCCGGGATATGCAAAGTCTGAAACTTCTAGTATTAGCTTTTACATCAACTACAAAATGGATGTAGTTTTGAATGGAATAGACGCTGATCCAACTATGCTATCACTTACCAAGACATATTAAGATATAAACTGATGGTGCGTGTTTCAAAACTCATCAGAAGCCAAAAATCATGTCCATTCCACCAAAAAATACGAAAGGTATAATAATTATTAACTTCTCACTCAAACGTGAAAAATCACATCAGAAGAACATACTTTTAAAACAAATCAATCCAAACAAGTTCTTTAATTTTCATATTTTTTGAAAAGATGGGGTTTTAAAAATTAGCAAAAGTACTCCATTATTATTCTCAGATTCAGAAATTAGCACACTAACACAGTAACCACGCTTCTCAAGATTTGGGTTGTAGCACAGGACTGCAAAAAAGTGCAGCGTGACGATGATCATTACACCGTTTATTTGTATCAATAAATAAAAGGAGAAAGAATGGACGTAGTACCTGTGTAAGCATATTGATAATCAGCGAGCAAGGGATATATACATGTACATCCAACCACTGAAATGATGCTTCTATTAAAGCCTTAAGAAAAGGTTTAAACTCCCGACCATGATTTAGTTAGTTGAATTGCATGTGAACTGTTAATCGAATTTCAAGCCAGAAAGGACCATCCACCCACCAAAATTGATTGAAAACGTAATCAAGTAATTCGTAGCCTGAAAAGAAGTCACATTTGCGCTGACGCCTAGCATCTGCAAAACAGGCATAAAATTAACGGGCCTTTTGCTGCCCACAAAGTTCACAGTTTAGATTCAGTCCCTTCGTGCAAAACGAATTCAATCTAGGACAATCAATCATTGCAAAAAGAATAAATATATCATGTGAAAGTAGAATTATTGATAAAATTCTAGAAAGGTAGCTCTTATTTTGACTGAAGAAAATATGCAGAGTCAACAATTAAGACTTCTTTGGAATGCTGCTGTATTCTGATAAGAATGTGAAAAAGAATTCAGTGTATGCCAGTAGAAAAAAAAAAGTGAAAAGTAAAAGGATATTGATCATACTGCTGGTTTGATGTTGAAAAAGATTTCTATGTATGCACAGAAGACCGCGTATAGAGTAGTCTTTGCACTGAATTAAAACCTGCACCAAAGAAAGATTCACACAAGAGCCAAATATTGATCATTATAGATTTTCAGAAAAACACTTTTTACATATTCGGAAAACATTAAATAGATAGTGACTTAAGAACTGAAGAAATGTTCACATTGGGTTTCCACCAAATGTGACAAATATTTGTAAAATTTATACAATGTGACAGCAAGAAATTCAGAACAACTGAATCTGTCAACTGCATTAAATAGCAGGTTGGTAGAATCAGCTTGACATGAACTGTGTAGTCTGTACATCTTCAGCAATGGGAAAATCAATTTACAGATTACCCTGTTCTCCCCTTAAAAAAAATTGTAAAAAACCCATTTCCAAGAGACATCATTATCCCTCTTCATCAATGTTATCATCACCAGAAGGAATCTGTCGGGTCTCTGATAATGAAAGCCTCCTTGGATTTGCTGAGCCTGACTCAACAAGTCCTTCTGATGATAAATTTAATGCAGAAGTTCCTGATGAAGAACCTAATATTCGCCTTCCCGGGGCATCAGCTGAAGGTGATGCAGATATGTTATAGGTGATGACTCCCATTGGGTGATCAAACTTGCAACTTGGACCAAATTTACATATGCCATAACGTGAATAGAAGACACAAAGAGGCTCTCCCTGTATGAAAATGAAAATGAGATACAACCTCTATTAGCATGCACCAAATTCAACAAGAAGATCACATCAACGTGAAGACAATACTGTAATAAATGATTGCAGATATTCTCATCTCTCTCCAATCAACAAACGAACATATATCTAGTTAAAAACACTTTAATGCATTTCACACAGTTGAAAGGAGTTATCAGACAATTTTTTTGGAATAAGATGCTAAGCACAAGAAGCAACACCAATGCCATCAAATATCACAGTTTGATTAAGACATAAAGGGGGAAGCACCCACGTGAAATAATTCATATTGATGATATTTTGTTGAGATCCCAAATTGACTATATATAAGCTTATAAAGGTTGTACAATCCTCATCTCATAAGTTAATTTTTGAGGATGAGTTAGATCCAGCCTAATTTAAGATGATATCATAATCTTTTCTAGATTTGACATTGGGCCACCATCAACTGAACAAAAGTCTACCTGACCTCACGGAGTTTCCCATTGCAACCTACCTGAGTGCAGCATTCCCAATATAATATATGGCCACAGTTAGGCCTCGTTAACTAGCTTTTGGACTAGACTTAGGCATAGCCAAGTTCAAGAGTTTTCATTATCTCTTCTGTCTTCAGTTTTATAATTGCAAACCTATAAGTTGGCTTCAGATTATTGTTACACTTACAATTGCTTTCTGTCTTGATTCAAATATCTTTAAATGTTCTCGCATGGTTCAATAATAGGGTTTCTCATCTATTTTGATTAAACCATTCATAGGAGGATGTATAGAACTAGGACATTAATTAAAATTTAAAAATAAAAAATACTCCACAACATAGAGTGATTTGAATTTGGATTCTTTCATTCCTGAAAATGTTAAATGCAAACTAATAGAAACCTGACAGAATCGGATACCATATGTCCTGCAATTCCTCTTCTCGTTTCCCTCTCGTTAACATTAGATCAACGCCCCATAAGATATTACTTAGAGAGCTTATCCCCTGCTTCTCATGTTATATCTTCAGTACACATTTTTTAGTTGAGGATCTATCACACGCCATAATAAAAGTGTTCATTTTAAACCATGTTATGATTGCTAGTAAGTTATACTTCTCTTGATAGGAATATGTTCTCCTATGTCGATAACTTTTGAAACTTGTTAGTGATAAAACACGTTATGAAAAAGCTCAGAAAAAGTTATTATCAAGACAGAACAACAAAAGGTATGGCCATCTTCCTTAAATGGTGTAAAAATATTCAACACTTTGGCTTACAAATAACATTATTTCTTATTTTAGCTCCTACACTGATTTAGTCATTTCAGAGAGAAATATATACAACACCCTAAATTGGAGGCCCATATTTCCAGCACAGGCTCCTAAAATTCATGTATATAGTCCCACAAACGTGTGATGTGTAATTGTCTATCTCTAGAGGAGCTACAATTAGATGATTTAAATTCAAATAATAAAAAAATGTAGATACTAAAGAATAGTGAGTAACAAATTAAATATGCTATACGCCAATTTAATTAGTTCTTTTTCGAGGCCTTACTAAACACAACCTTCCAGAACTATCATGAGTGTATATTCAGGTGAAAAAAAAAATCTAAATGAAATATTAAGTTGACATATAGAAACCAAGAGCAAGAGTTCAACTCACAGGACGTAAAGGAAGGCCTATAGGACTCAAAACACAGTCAGGAGCTGGAATCATCCTTTCACGTGGATGATGGAAACGACAGACTGCACCAAACTTGCAATCTCCAGTCTTCATGTAGAATTGACATTCAGGTTGATCAGGTCTCTCGGGAAATATGTTCTCTCTCTGCAACGCATAGAAACCTACAGGGACGGAGCCAGAACGAAATTGAGAATATGCCCCCTGGGATCCTGCATTTGCCGGTTCACTTTGCCGATTAGTTCCATAGCTTTGGCCATTTCCCATTGTTTGCTGTGAACTGTCTGATCCCATTTGACCCTGGAAAAAAAATTAATGTTTCATCAGGATGTTGGTACATATTAGCAACAACAAGATCTGTAAAAACAGCTCAGTACATATCTGCCATGTGGCATTACATTAATATATTTTCATCATAAAATCAGATAGATGACACCAATGTATTATTTGAAAAATAAATGCAATGAAATTTCTCTCCAACAAGTTACAAGATCAATTTTACATAAGAAAATACCTTGATAGACAAGAACATTGGAGGGGGAATAAATCCTAATAGTCCACGAAAATTAAATATCCAGAGTCGAACAGCCATTCAGTCACAAAGGCAAATGAATATCTGAAGAAATATGAATGGTACGACAAACCAACTCTCTCAAAGGTTTAAGTTGGAGGGGAATAAATCCTAATACTACCTAACTTCTGTATTATAAGACATTTTTAATAGAATCACATGTACCAATAAAATTAATGAATTCAGTTGACTTTGATGATTATTTTTAAAAAAGTCACCATTATAACAAATTTACCCCATTATGAATGAATTTGCCATTATTCATTAATAAAAAACACACATACTGAAATATTTAATATAGTCACACAAGGAAAAGAAGTTAAATATTATATAGAAACCATAAAATGGATTATAAAAAGGACCATCAATATCTTCGGAATTATGTCTTATAATAAGGATCACAGGGAGTATATCTAACAGCGTCGTCACATAAGAATTAAATGGGTTTAAAGCATGGCATTGTACAGACCCACCCACTGCTGAAATTTAGCTTTTATTTATAGGACAACAAAAATTTAACTCTAAACTACAGGGTGATGGTGGCTTTAATACCGTGTCATCATGAACACAGTCCCAAGACCTTAGCCATTAGGTTAAAGCATGTGACTGGTTTTATAACAAATGGAAAAACCCATTTTTAACTTTAACACACTCTCCTGACAAAATTGTGTTTTTTAATCTATCACAAGCATAGAATATAACATCATTAGCTTTCTTCTGTATAAAAGAATGGATGAGCTTACACTGTATGCACTCCACCCTGGCACTGAAACCATTCCCTGAGGTAGAATTAAAGGAGCATAACTTGAAGGGCTTTGCCATCGTGGGCTAGGTATATATGATGAACTAGGCCAATTTGTAATTCCTGTTGCATATGACTGCTGACCTGGTGTAGTAGGAGATTGGACAGTAGGATAAACAGGAGAACTTCTCATGGAAAGCACCATATTGCTTGGCTGGGGATGGTGAAATTTGCAAGTGTTCCCAAATTTACATTGTCCAGTTCTTAAATAATACGCACATTCAGGCTCATTCTGTATCAACAAACAAAGAAATATAGAATTAACTATAAATACCAACAATACCAGAAAACAATCAGGTGTCAGATATTATAGAGAACAATTATCTGTTCAGGGGTCATTCTGTATCAACATGAAACAAAAAATATACAGTATTAGACTACTAATATCAACAACCCAGCAAAACTTTCAAGTGTCAGATATAAAATAGAAGTATGCAAGGCCACCACAATTTTAGAAAATATCTACTGATGGAAATTGAGAGTTAGGGGTAATTATGAGAGTTATCTGTAGAAAATAATGGCCGGAAGTAATGTATTAGGACTATATATCTTTTAGTATGTCGTGTTATTAAGCAGCATGAAGTTATTTGTAGTTTGTGGACGGAGAAAATCTCCATAGAAGACTTTTGACTTTGGGAAAACAAGTGTATTGCTGTATTACATGTACAGCTGGGACAGCAAATGTATTTCTGCATGTAATTTCAGAGTTCAATATTATATTTTATTACTTTTATCAATTGGTATTCTATCATACATTGAATAGAAAGAGGCAGCATTTGAATTAAAACTTTTTAGGTCGAAAAGTGTATCAAGCAATTTAATTATGCAATAAATCAAACAAGTAATCAATAAGAAATGCCACAATTAACAAAGATGTATTGTGTATTTAGATATAAATAAGAGACCAAAATTAAATACTAACAGGGCGGAGTGGATAGCCTAAAATGTTCAAGGCAACTCTTCCAGCAATCCCTGCCTTGTCTCTAGGATGATGAAACCTGCATGTGGCTCCAAATTTGCAAGTTCCTGTCTTCAAGTAGTACTGGAAAGCATAAAAAAGGGGATAAGTATTTGTAATATGCTTAACAGTAGAAGGTTGATGCTAGCATTTATAATATCCATAAAGATAAAAAAATTATAAAATCAAATAAGAAAAGAGTTTAATGGCTATGCATTGTCAGTTAAACAGATTTACATTGTTATTCAATCACAAATCACCATTACTATATTTTTTAAGGTAGTCATCAATAAAAAAAACAAACTTACCATATATAGTAGTTTGTGATTGGATGACAATGTAAAATTGCTGTACCCTGTCAGTACATAATCTTTTTTCTCATAAGAAAATCATTAAAAAAAAAATCGATTTATAGTTATGAAGTGATTATAACTCATGCGGGTATCAATGATCAAGATGATCTAAAAGCAGATAAAGGTTCTTGACATTTTGGAAGAAACTGAAGTGCTATGCTCCTACATATCTAAATTTTGAGCTTCTGATCATGAGCAGCAGACTTATGTTGATATTGTAGATTAGTGGGTAACTACTCTATCTCATAATGACTGGGCTATAGATATTCCTTTGTTGCAAATAAAATCCTTCACTTTCCATGTGATAGCCACTGACAGGAATTCAGATCTAGAGATAATCAAGAGGTCTCCAAGAAAAAGATTGGTTTATGAAAACAAAGACATGCAGACATAATCAATAGCATTTCACATGGCCTCCTATCCAGTCATGGGCCAACCAAACACACCAGGGTTGATTGCCAGCTTAAACAAGAGAAGATTCTTTCTAGGAATATCACTATATCAGTTGTATACTCCAATGATTAACTAGCATCTATGTTCACCACGGATCCAAATCACCTGTCCGAAATAGATCATATCCTTTATCTCTTCTCCCAACACTTTAGGATCTATCTTGTATCAGGGATTTGAATTGTAATCAGATTTAGGTATAAATTCAGAGGTTCTAAGAGGAATTATCTCAAGAAATTCCAACCATCCTAAAGAGTTCAAGGGCTATAATTTTGAAAAAATATAAAATGCTAACTTAAAAAAGCCCAGACCATGCCCATAAACAAGCAATGAGCACCTTATGCATTCATTGAGAAACAAGTACATGCCTGGCATTCTGGCTGTCCTATTCTTTCTGGGAATTCACCTTTCATCCGTGCAGCAGCAATAGCCTGATATTATTCAAAGGAAAAACCTATCAGGTAACTATAGTAATTAGTTTATGTGAGATCAAAACGAAAAGTACCAACTGTACATCAAGATAATTTTGATCATCAACAACCAAACAACAATTATTTAAAAAAAAGGTGAAAACAGCTAAAACAAATTTAATCGTGAAAAGATCGTGGAGGTGTAAAGAAAAACAAACTATCCACAAATGCAAGTTACATTCTCCCAAGTGAGTGTGTATCTGTGTGTGCATCTTTGTCGTCTGCTAATTCAGTGATATAATATGATTGAGTTAAGTGGAAAATGCAATCATTTTTAATAGGAAGAACATAGTGAAAAAACACTTGTAGGAAGAAGAATATAAAGGGACAACAGCAAATAGTTTCAACTGTTTATTGATTCCATCACCTTGGATATTCTATGTTGACAGTATGAGCTGTTTGGAATAAATTAATAATAAAACCTAAGAATTATCTATCAACAATATTTTTAACTCATGCAACAAAGTTATAATTACAATTTGTCCAAAAGCATTGCATGGATCATACCAGCTTCCTGTTAGGAGGATGATTAAATCGACATGTTGCTCCAAATCTACAAAGACCGGTCCTAATGTAATATGAACAATCTGGTTCTCCTGGATGCTCAGGATAAGGTCCAGATTCCATTGTTTCACTTGACCTCAAGTTAATTTGCCACATTGCATCTGAAATAACATGACATGAACAAGTCAATTTCTCCAAAAGATACATCATTATAATCTAGACTCCATTTGTTACTTTAATTATAGTGTAATACAAACTCGGCTTTGACACATGAATATGTAGGAAATTTCAGCTTTTAAGGAAACGTTCTTCAGTCTGGCATATTTGTCCAAGCCACATGAAAAAACCGTTTGTGAATGCTATGAGCCAAAGGCTTTTACAAAGTTGCCATGCTTTCACACTAGATTCTTTTAAAAAATAAATTGGTGAAAAATGATTTAATTAAATTTTAAAATATTCATTAAAAAAATCTAGAATATTTCCATAAACTGCACCTAGATTAATGATTATTGAAGTGTTCAGTTCAGTAATCACAATTTATCACGACAGTACTCCACAGTACCTAAACCTAAAATTGCTAAACGAAATCGGAAAATTTATACTCCATTCATTACTAATTTGAATTTAAGAGAACTAGAAAAAAGTAGCTCCGATTGCGGTTTTATTGTCCAGTAAAAAACAGAACAACCAAATTGCATGAACATGAACACAAACATTCTCAAAGCAGTTAAGAAAACACAAGCACAGGGAAGTGAAATCCAAGAAAAAAAGTTTGCAAGTTAGTCCCTAACGTTAAAAAACAAATAGAAGAAACAGAAGATGGAACGAAGCACCTCAGATCTTAGAATCACGCAATCAGACCTCAGAACAACGAAATAGGAAGAAAAACAAGCCCGACGATTATCCATCGTCAATCATCGGCAGCGACAGGGATCACGAAGATTCACGTGATCGAACGAACGATATTGAAACAAAGCTATTCATCACAATCGGAGAAAAAGAAGAAGAAGAAGAAGAAACACCGAGGAAAAAAAGTGTGGAGAAAAAGCAAAGGACCTTGAGGAAGGTGCTCTCGGGACACGGGAATCGCGGCATCGAATTCCATACACGCATAATAATACTATTATCACCGCCCTGTCACTCACTCTTCACATTCCATTTCCCACACTCACTTAAACTTCGATCACCCTTCACCGGTTCACCCCCAGCAACAACAACAGTTAAATAAAATTGAATTATTATTAATATTATAATATTATAATATTATTTTTTAATGAGAAATAAAATAAATAAAAAAGAAGAGTTCGTGGAAAGAAGAAAAGAGAGGTGGTGGCTTTGAGTTCTCCACTCCACAATCGAGAACAAGGAATAAAAACCAACCAATCATACATCACCAATCATCTGTTACTGTTACTGCAACACTATTTGCTTTTTTTCACCCGCTTCTTCAACAACACACGTTGGTTTATCTCTATTAGTCCCGCGATTCCTTTTTTCACACCTTTTTTTTTTCTCCTTATTATTTAATTCATGAATTTTGACTTCCCAACTTTTTTACGTCAACCGCATGTAATAATATTCTCGATTGAAACGATAAATAAAAAGTAAAATGATTTTTTCACACCCACGTGACCTAGTGCTTCTCTGTCACAGCCCACGATTTTTTGTTTGCTAATAAATATTTTAAATATTAAAAATATAGTAAAAAAAAAGGTTTTAACTTAATCTATTTTAATTTATGAAAAACAAAATCCAAGAATAGAATTAAGAGAAATAAACTAAGCTATATAATAATATTATACTTCATATCATTATTTTAAAACTATATTCATAGTTAACTACACATTGGCTTAAGCTTATAATGTAGCTGTATGAATTTACTAATGTGAAATTATGTCCATTTAATGGATTTATATTTTAAAAAATTAATATCTCTATTCTGTTTTTATTTTCTTTAAAAAGAAAGGTATGGGTTGATATTTATTATCATGTGGTGAGTGATAATTGGTGCGTAAAGAAAAAAAAAAAAAAAAAGACTAAAGGAGTGGATAATCGAATTTGGAACCATTGGTTTAGAAAGGAAAGAAGAAGAAAGGTTCTTGGAAGACGGCTTGCAGTTTTAGCGTGAAGTTGACAGCCCAAGAAAAAAGAACTATATTATTAATGGACAAAATACAAAATAAATGGAAATAAAAAAGTAAAGATACCAAGACAACTGGGAGTGGTAGGAAGGAGAAAAAACTTATCACACTAATTTATTTTAGAAAAAGTCGGGTTTAATTCCTTTATTAAAAATGATACTTAATTTTAAAATAAGCATTATTTGTTATATTATAAAAAATTATATTTATATACTTATATTTTTTTAATAAATAACATTTATTTTTATTTTTTTAACAAGACATTATTTTTTAAATATTATAAAAATATGAGTTTTAATTTATTAAAAATATAAAAAGGTTTTAATATTTATTGTAACATTAAAAAAAATGTAAATATTATTTAGTATAATATGAGGAAAAGCAAGTTCGATTTTTCTATTATTTTAATTTTTGTATATTAATTTAAATTTTAAATAAACATAAATATATTTGAAATTTTATAATAATAATAAATAGATTTATTCAATGCCAATAGTCACATGATTATTTTTATTTTGTTTATAAAATCTGTTGTACATCTAGTTCAAGAGTATGGATGAAACATATAGCTCAACTGATCAAGAAAATTTATAGCTCAAGCTTTTTGTCTCTGTTCTGGTAATAGATGTGGGGATTAAAATACTTGTTAATTTGATGACATCTTCGCATTTTCATAAAAGGTATATTGAATCTAAGATGATTAGAATAATTTCAGATTGATGAACAACATAATCTGTGTATTTCTGCTTTAGATAAAACCAGGTACCTTTAGGTATTGTGCTTTGACAACAATAGATAACTATAAAACACTATGCACCTTTCACCATCTTATGCAACTACTTGAAGTATTTGTCTCTGACGTATTTCTACAAGCTCTTTATGAAGCACAGTGTTGTGGGGAAGACAATCTTAAAGGGAGATTGGTCTTGACTTGTTTAAGGATCCAACAATGATAAGTGGTGTGTAACACATTTCACTATATTCGCGCACACCATGTTACACCACTATAAAAAAAGATTCAAGATTTATTCAGGAAGATATGATTTGATTGAACTTCGTGATTCCTTAGACAAATTAGCCACAAATCTTGCCATTTGACTACCTTCAAAGTCCTAGTGTGAGAAAAGTTGTTAACTAGCAACATCTCATTTGCCTTAACAAGAAGTTTTGGAACCAAAATCTAGGAGAAAGAAAGATATTGTTGGGTACAAAATTTTGGAGAAAGAAAGACATTTTGGGGTTCCTGATGAAGACTTTCCATTTAATGTTAGATACAACTGGGTGGATTCATTTGGACATCACCTCCATATTCTAGTGCAGAACCATATCCCTTAAACAATTTAATCTGGTTTGTAGATGATAATATCTAGCCTTTTCTCATGCCTTCTTCACATTGTGTCTGTCTTGGCCACTTCATGCTATTTAAATTGACCCATCATTGTCCCAAAAGCATCTAAACCAGTAGACAATGACGCTAAAGTCATTTGTCTTGATCCATCTTTCAAAAGGTTGTGCTTACTAAGGAAATTGTTTTGCTCAAATGCACACTAAAGTCTTTAATGTCTAGCAACACAACTCAACTACAAACCTCTTTGAATGAAGATGATTTTGATGGTGACAAAAGGTGTAATAGAATACTAAAGTTAGGGTAAGAAAAAGGCATTTTCTCAAGAGGCTAAGTAATAAATGGTGTGTTTTTTAAGTATTTGTTGTTTTCTTTAACAAAAAATAGTTTTTTTTTTTTTGTATTACATATAATTAAAATACATCATTTTGATTGAAAACTTTTAGTAGAATGAGATGTTGTTTAATTTGTTTAATAAAAAATTATATTAATCAATCGAAGAGAAGTCATAAAAGATATAAGAAGTAATTTTTTGTTATAAATATTAAAAAATAAATATTTACTTGAAGTCATATTTGTCTTTTAAGACATTATATTTTTACAAGTGTGAAGAAATTTACTTGAAAAAACACTTCACTTATCATTTAGAAAAATAATTAAAATAATACGTGGACAATATTCTCAAATGAATTCTTCAACTGAAAGTATGTTTTTCAAAAAGTTTTAAAAATTGTAATTCAATCCCATTTTTGTAATTTAAATATAAGTTATATGACTATAAACACTTAGTATTAGACGATGGGAGGGACAAAAATAATATGAGACAAAGGTTAAAAAACTAAAAGATAAAATTGTTAAATGAATAAAACCAATTCTAAATTATCGAAGGTCTTAAAATGATTTTTGTAAAAAGTAGTAACTAAAAAATAATCCAAATTATACACACAACTGCTATATTAAATTTGTAATCAAATCACTTTGTTTATGTATTTATCACATAATTAACCATTATTCAAGAAGATAAACTAAAATATTTCCAAAAAAAAAATTCAATATTTTTTTATATATTTTTTTAAGAATTAAAACTGGAAATTTCCAAAAGCTAAAGGAATTTTTATATAATAAAATGTTATGTATAACTATTTATCTGAAAAATAAAATTATATAAACCGTCTCAAGGTAAGATCCGTTATATTCGAAAGTAACATATTTAGGCAGGGTTCTTAAAGTATTTCCAAATAAAATTATTTTAAAAAAACTGTTTATAAATAAAATATTATTTTAATATGAATTTTATATATTAAAATTTGGAGAAAATTGTTTAACTATTATATCTGAATACACTTTGATATGTGCATTGATTGTTTTTGAACAAAATAAAAGATGGAATTATATACATATCATGGTTGGAAGAGGATCAACTATAAAAAAATAAAAATAAAACTAATATTCTTAAAAGTACGTTAAAAAAAAACAAATAAGGAAGGAAGAAAGTAACGTTATGATAAAATTGAAAATATTAGACTAAATTTAACGAAAAACAAAAATTATACACGTTTTACATTCAATCGTACATCTAAATCACAGTGCATTGTAATTTTATCGCTTAGAACATTGTATTCGTGAATGTTTGTAGAAATGGTAGTAAAGTTTACGGGTTTAGTATATGATTGTTAGGTTCAAATTTTAGATAAACTTATTTTTAAATCAAAAGTTTATGTCTAAATTATTTTATCTTAAATTTTATTTTAGTCAATAATTTTGTAAAACTGAAATTATTTATGTTTTGGAAAAACATTAGACTGTCAAATGTATGTTTACAGTCCAACAACGTGGTTTTGCTTAAATAAAATAAAATCATCATGATTGGTTTGAAACTTAACAGAGTGGGGTATCACTGAAAGCACATACACATTTGATTTGCAACAAAAAAAAAAGTGTATTTCTCGTGTTAAATTGAAAATTTATACTAAATTTTAATAAAAACTTATATTTTTAAATATGAATAACTTTATTTTATAAACACTTTAATCATAACAAATCTTATAGAACAAGGTCACTAAGTTTTCAGACAAAACGTGATAAAAGAGTAATATGTTGATAGTTGTCTGAAATTAACTTAAACACCGTTATGAATGTTTTAACCATTTAAAATCAATTTTATCAAAACTAATTATTTTAATTTTAATGAAATGATCAGAATAATAAAAAAAATTAACAAATTTTAAAGACAAATATTACTCAGTAAAAGAAATTAACAAAAAACTTTTACCCAAAGACGCTATTAATAATTCTTACAGAAATTTTAATATTTTTTTACCAAAATGCCTAACAAGCCGCTTTGTCAAACTTTTAGGTCATTTTTGAAGTGGGATTTGGCCTTCAATTCAAGACCCGAGAGAGAGACAGAGAAAGGAAAGTGCGCGTTATGTGGCTCTTGTCTCGTCGGTAGCAGAAACTCGAAAAACCAGAAGCACGTATAAAATGCGGAATAAAATGAGTTCAATTTTTGGAGATCTGCACAGGATCTCTCTGCATCAAACTCTCTTCATAATTCAGATCCGAAAACCAGATCCCACTAATTGAGATCCCTATTCTCTTCTTCTCTCTTTACATCCTTTCTACTCAAATTTCCCTTTCCACTTTCCCGAGAAAGTCATTTTTCTCTGCGCGACTTCCTTCTTTATCGCAATTTCAACCGCCACGGATCCACAATGGCTCCGAGCTTCAACAACCGAAGAATTGCTCTCGCTCTTCGCATTTTCCTTCTCCTCTCCTTCTTCTTTAGCTTCTCATCCACCTTCGCTCAGGTCAACTTCCTCTCCTCCGTTCTTTGCGTTTTCTTTCACGAATCGCGGCCATAACATGTTTCATTTCTATGTGTAGGATTCGCTCTTGCAGAACGTGAAGGACGATTCCGGCGGATCTGTGGATTTCGGTCGCCGCGGCAAAGTAAGCTTCCGTTTCCTCGCTTTCTTTCTTTTCTACCGTTATTTGTCGTTTCTTTCAGTGCGATTGAATTGTGGAGAAAATTGAATCGAGTGCGTTGAAACTGGAAATGAATGTTCGTGTGCTTTCTGTGAACAGATGGCGTTGAATGATATAGAGAATAGTTCGGTCTTTTCTCTTGGCTTGGAATCCTCTGGTCCTGGACTCTTCGATGCCTTTTTTGCGAGTCTATCGATGATCATTGTCAGCGAGGTTAGTTTAACGAAGTTGCGTTGATCTCACATTCATTGTTTGATTTTGCTAGCTATATTTGTAGCTAGTGTGTTGTCAAGCATTTTCACTGGATCCAATTTGGATCTCAGGAGCAAGAGTTTTTGTATATTTTTTTGTAGTATTGTTGAGAATCGTGAAGGCTGGTGAGAGTTGGAGACATTTCGGAGACGAGTGTGAGAGTAAACTGGAATCAAATTTGATTTAATGTGCTACTTATATATGCAATAGAGTATGTAGCATATTAATTACTAATTGATAATGCTGCAACTAACTCAAATTTTCTTTAACTAATGCAACCAAAGGTGACTATATTGTCAGAAATAGGAGCGATCAAGTCCTTAAGAATACTTTTTTAGTTTCATATTATGCCTCTCTTTTATGTTTGAGTAATGCCTTTTAACTGATTTTTTTGTGCCAGATCGGGGATGAGACGTTTATAATAGCAGCTCTTATGGCTATGCGTCACCCTAAGTCAATTGTCTTATCTGGTGCGCTTAGTGCCCTGTTTATAATGACAGTAAGTGCTACAGTAATCAACTTGCATATGCTTTGTTGTCTCATCATGGGATGCTTTTTTCCTTAGTATCGTGATTGAATGGTTTCTGCAACTACAGAGCACCTTTTATGGGTGCTCTAACTTTTCTTATCAATGTTATCAGGATTAAAGTTATTGTACGTGTCAATTAGGTACTTTCTACTGGGCTAGGCAGGATTGTGCCAAACTTGATTTCTAGGAAGCATACAAATAGTGCCGCTACAGGTAAAATTTCTGGTTTGATACTTATTGCTGAGCTGATTAGCATAATTTGTGAATTCCGCAAAAAGCAGGTTAAACGTAATTATTTTGATTTACAATGTTGTCGAGTCTGCACTCTGCATTTGTTATAGAGAATTAGCTCTGTTGAAATGGTTTAGGGGTGTTACAATGCGTTTGACTTGTATTAAGTACTAGTTGATTGTGTCTATTTCATTCCATTTGTGCCTGGCCATTGGGTTCACTCAAACTCTTAGTGGTGTTTAGTATAAAGAAATATTATGGACTTAGCTGCGTTGGCTGTTTATTTGTGTGTCTATTCCAAATATTATGTCTTTTACTTTTATAAAGTCTATGAGAATTCTAGTTAAGCTGCGCTAAAATTTGTTTGTGGCTTTATGAGAAAATTATGTGCTGTTCAACAAATTGTGAACCATTTGTTTTTGGATTGGCATTTATAGCTTGGTGATTTACCCATTTCCAAAATTCTATTCATTATATTGTGTTTAAGGATGGTTTTATTTTCATTTAAAAGTTCAATTTTTGTTAAGATGAAGCTACTCTTATCTTTTTTTTTGTCACCTGCAGTTCTTTATGCTTTCTTTGGGTTAAGGTTACTATACATTGCATGGAGATCAACAGATTCAAAATCCTCACAGAAGAAAGAAATGGAAGAAGTATATTTTTTTCATTAACCTTTATAGGAAAATTCTGATGATGGCCAATGCTATCAAGTCAATCTAACACTTTTCGTCGTGTACTCTATATGATTGGCTAAATTTTGTTGAAAATCACGAAATTATATGGGTCCTATTCCTTGTTTAATGAATTTTACTCATGATTTTGTAGTTTTCATTAAATATTTAACTAAGAATGTGTTGAAAAACGAATGTTAGAGTTCTTGCTAGCAGTCGTCATGTTAAAATATTGCTAAGAGGAAACACCTTCCTTCACATAAGTTAGTTTCTTTGATGCATTATTTTTTAAATTGTAGTTTCCCATGGCACTTGTCATGGGGAGGGAAGCTCAATCAATTACCAAAATTTTCTGCAGCTGGCAGGGATTCTATAGTTGATGTATTAATTGGTTCAATTTTGTTTATTTAAAAACTATCTGGTCAAATTTGGTACATTCTAAGAATTTATTCTTCTTGTTATCTAGGTTGAAGAAAAACTGGAAGGTGGACAAGGGAAAACTACAATTCGACGTTTCTTTTCAAGATTTTGTACACCAATTTTTTTGGAGGCAAGTACATTTTTTGCTTTGCACCAATTATTTGACAGACAATAATCACATTTACACTTGTAATACCATATTTTTATGCAGTCCTTTATTTTAACATTCCTTGCTGAGTGGGGTGATCGTAGCCAGATAGCAACAATTGCTGTAAGAAAACTGATCCCTTGTAGATCACTGAACATTTTATGCTTTCATGATTGATTTTGTCTTGGTTCTTGTCGGCAACACTTTTAGTTACGTCCTTTAATTTCCTTATGCAGCTGGCGACCCACAAAAATGCACTGGGAGTAGCAGTTGGGGCCACTATAGGACACACCATCTGTACCTCCCTGGCAGTGGTGGGAGGAAGCATGCTGGCATCCAAAATTTCCCAACGCTCAGTAGCCACTGTTGGTGGCTTGCTCTTCCTCGGATTTTCCGTATCTTCTTACTTCTACCCACCCCTATGATTAATACAAGTGCATATTAATCTGATTCGTAATGGCTTGTGGCCTTGCATCCTACTTTATTTTTCCACATAGTTGTCTCAATTGTAGATTTTGTTGTACTTGTTCCCTAGGAAAGCTCGATACTAACTGGATCATGAGATTTTGATTCCCATTCTTTTTGTAAAATATGTTACGTTTTCGTCTCCTCACAATAGCACATAGATAGTCATTGTTATTTATCATTACTTTCGAAAGGGGAAAGTATCACCCCCCCCCCCCCCCCTCTCTTTTCATGGTGCCTTCAAAAGTGGCCCACTTTTGTGTGGGTTAACTTTGAGCATGAGGTTGAATGATTGATGGAACCTAATTTTGGATTTTGACTATCGGCTAATGGTTTATTGCTTGTAGTAGGGATAATGTTTTGTGGCGTGATCGGCTTACTATTTGAAGGGATGGATAACCCACTAGTGGTTCAAAATAGCTGGCGGTTAGTTTCTTGTTTTGTTCTTTCGATGTTCTTTTTTGAAAGTTTATTCTTTGTTGTTGTTATTACTTTCTGAGCCTGGGTGTTTCGTTTTAGTTCCGTGCAATGGAAGTGCTAACCGCTAATAATGAAAACAATAGCTAGTGAAGTAAAATATGGCTTTTGGCTATGCATTTTCATATGTTCAAAGCGTGTATATAATTTGGACTTTAAAACTTATTTGAATTTGCAGAGAGTTTATTGATGCATTATAAACAAACAAATCCGGTATAAAACTATATTTAAACTAGACCTCTAAAGTTTTCCAAAGTTATATATTTCATTATTAAATAAAAAATTTAGAGTCAATTTAAAAATTTCATATGAAAGGAAGTAGCCTTTCTAATATGAATAGTCTATTCTGCATCATATGTAAAATACAACAGGGTAGAAGATATATATATCTAAAATGGATACAAGATGCATAGTATATGTCGATGCATATTATAAAAAGGTGGATGATGTATAATTTAAAAAAAAAATAGATAATACGCGGTCATCATTTATAGACAATCATGGTAAAAATGGATAATCATCTAATAACCTATATATTAATATAATAATTATAATATAATTTAATAAAAAATTGTTATTATTATAATAATTATCGGACTGTTGGATAATTATAGACTGAAAAATTGGTTGAATAAATATATATGTTTTCATAATACATTATGCACAAAAAAATACATGATATATGTGTGAAAAAGAATACACGATGGATAATTTAAGGGTGATTAGTATATATGCATGATCTTAAAAAAACTTAAATTTTAACAATTTTATTTTTTTTAAATGGCTTATATTATCTTAAGTAGTTTAATAAGTTAATATCTTTTTTATTTAAAAAAAAGTAGTCAGAATTAATATTTTTTTTTATAAATTATGTTTTACATACTGTATTGATAGTTTAATTACTCATTACTTTTTAATTCATAACTTTTCTAATCCTCTAAAATCATAGGAAGATATGAAATATGGACACTTATGAAAATTATTTTTTAGCACTACTTTGAAAAAAAAATCTTGAAGAACATTGTGAGGGGAGAAAATTACGATGTATATGTAAGACGTATAACTTATAAAAGAAGTTATAGCTTGACAAGCTAAAAAATGAACATCAAGTACCCCACTAGTGGATGTTTTATGGGAATGGACTGCAAACATTATTTTTTTATGATATTCCTTATGCTTATTATATACATTGTTTTGTTTATAGATTACAATTTGTTTTAGTTGTTGTTTCAAGAGAAGTTATTCTAGTTTATCAATTTTTTTTTTAAATTTAGCTTTTATTATAAATGTTGTTTGTTCATCTAGTAAACGTTATGATGAGTTACAAAGTGTAAAATTAGATGAAATAGTCAAATTGTTAGAACTTGGTGAACTTGAAATCGGTAAAGTCAAAAATCAAATTGGTACTTTAAAACGAGTTGGTGATACTTGTTGGAGTTCACATTATTTCATTTGTAGTATGATGAAATTATATAGTGCATCTTGTTTAGTTTTCTAAAAAATTGTAATTGATGATTCAACTTATTCTCAAAGGGGTGATGCTGATGTTACTTGTAATATTTTATCTGAGTTTGAGTTCATATTGATTTTACACATGATGAAAGAAATTATGGGAATTACTGATTGTCTTTGTCAAGCTTTACAGAAATAATCTCAAGATATACATAATGTTATGCTCTATTCGACTAAAATTTTGATTCAAAAATTAAGAGAGGATGGTTGACAAGATTTGTTGAAAGATGTGATGTTGTTTTGTAAGGAACATGATATTGATATTCTTAATTTTAATTCTACCTATATAGCACGTCATGGTCATTCTCGACATCAAAAAGATTGTATTACAGTAGAACATCATTTCAGGGTGAACATATTTTTTATTACAGTGGATAAACAATTACAAGAATTAAATAATAGGTTTAGTGAGAAAATAATGGAACTTTTAACTTTAAGCAATGGTTTAATTTCAAATGATGTTTATAAAAAATTTTAACATTGATCATATATGCACACTTGTGAACAAATTTTATCCTTTGGATTTTAGTGAACAAGAGAAGATTGATTTAAATTTTCTACTTCATCATTTTATACTTGATGCTCCTAACCATCCAGATTTGAAGAATTTGTCATCATGCTTGAATTATGTCAATCTTTGACAAAAACAGAGAAGTCAGATACATTTTACTTAATAAATCGTTTAATTCGTCTTTTTTTAACTCTTCCTATTTCTACAATTGAGAGATCGTTTTCTGCAATGAAGATTATCAAAACAAGACTGCGAAATAGAATGAAAGATAAAATTCTTGCAAATAATATGATCATTTATATTGAAAAAGAAATAACTAAAAACTTTAGTTTTGATTCCATTATTGATGAGTTCAACAATTTTAAAAGAATGAAACGCACAATTTTAAATAAATATCTGATGTGGACATGACCTGACAAGGGCTAGAGTAAGGAAAGTAAAGGAAGTTGTTCAACAAGTATTAATTAGTTAGGTTTTATTGCAAGTTATAATAAGGGCCTAATTGAAAACTTAGTCATCAATCTTTGGGAGACCAAGAGGGTTTTAACTTTTTGTTGCCAAAATTTCAGTTACAATCAGTCATTAAGTAGTATCAATTGCTAGGTTAATGGATAATTATTAGTCTTTATCTGTCTCCATTAAGTAAGTTTTAATTCCTAGGTTAATGAATCATTATTAGCATTTATTTTCCTTTATTGAATATTTGCAATTCGATGACAAAACTTCTATATAGGTTGAACCATATTTTTATCAAATATAACAAGTTGAATTTTATTTAAAAATATTAGAGTTTAACTATTTTATCTTGGTGAGAATGATTCTCCTAAATTCTTGAGTGATTCGAGAACATTTGGTTGTATCAAAAGACTTTCACGTCCTTTGTGAGTTGTCTCGCTTGGGAATAGTGATTTTTTCCTTCCACCTTATCACTAAATTCCTAAATTTACTACAAGGTTCTAACCCTAAAGATCATAAATCATCCATAGTGCTATTGAGATTCATATCAATTGGTATCAGAGCCTCGGTTTAAGGGTTTGAACATCAAATTGATGGCAGAGGAGGAAAATTACAATCAAGAAACAGGAATTAGTCCATTTCAAATGAGGATATTGATACAAAATTTGGAAGGATTAATTATAGAACAAATGGGCTCCATGAAAGATTGAACCGGTTGGAGAATAGAGATCAGAAGATGAAGAAGAAAGGAGAAATAGAAGAAGGAATGATGGAGTAGCAAGACCAAGTAGGCTTGAAAGAGTCAAACTTAGCATTTCTCCGTTCAAAAGAAAAAGTGATTCAGAGGCATACTTAGAGTGAGAGATGAAAATAGAGCATGTTTTCTCATGCAACAATTATGACGAGACCCAAAAGGTGAGACTTGCAATCACGAAATTTTCTGACTATGCTCTTGTTTGGTAGAACAAGCTACAAAAGAAGAGAGGTAGAAATGAAGAACCAATGGTTGATACATGAATTGAGATGAAAAGGATCATGAGGAAGTGGTATGTGCCGACTAGTTATTCAAGGGACTTGAAATTTAAACTCCAAAAACTTACACAAGGCAACAAAAGGGTTGATGAGTATTTCAAGGAAATGGAGATGCTCATGATTTCAGCAAAGATTGAAGATGATGAAGAGGTAACTATGACCCGATTTATTGGTGGTTTGAATATTGAGTTGTAGGAATTTGTTGATATGGAAGATTTATTTCATAAAACAATTCGAGTGGAGCAACAAATCAAGAAAAGAAGTGGCTAAGAAGAGTTCTACCAACTTTGGATCTTCAAGTTGGAAGGATACAGGCAAGAAAGATGAGATTGTTACTTCTAGTAGTTACACACTTATTCCTATAAAGACTCCTTCAAAACAACCATCTAAAAGAAGTAGAGATGTGAAGTGTTTCAAATGTCAAGGCCTAGGACACTATGATTATGAATGTCCTAACAAAAGATCTATAGTTCTTAGAGAGGGAAAATATATAAGTGAATCTGAGGTTAAAGAGGAAGAAAAGATTCCAAAGGGAGATTTATTGATGATTAGGCGATCACTTGATGGCCAATTGAAGTCTATGGAAGAAAGCCAAAGAAAAAACATTTTCCAAACTAGATGTTTAATCAATGATAAAGTGTGCATGATGATTATAGATGGAGGTAATTGCACCAATTTGACTAGTGCTAGATTAGTGACAAAACTAAATTTACCAACTAAATCACATCCTAAGCCTTATAAACTTCAATGACTTAGTAAGGATAGAGAGGTGCAAGTGAGGAAGCAAGTTGAAGTGAACGTTTCTATTGGAAAATACAATGATAAGGTACTTTGTGATGTTATTCCTATGGAGACCAATCACTTACTTTTGGGGAGACCGTGACAATTTGATAAAAGAGTCCATCATAACGGGTTCACCAACAAGATCTCTTTTATGCACCAAGACAAGAAGATTGTGCTCAAACCTTTGAGTCCACAAGAAGTGTGAGGATAAAAAGAAAATGAGAGAAAAACTTCTTCAAGAGAAGAGAGAGAAGGAAAGCGTTAGAGAAACACTTCGAGAAGAAAAAGATTGATCAAAAGAAGAGTGAACACTTGAAGTGAGAGAAAGTTATTTAGTCACAAAAAGTGAGTATAATGTTAGCTCTGTATTTAATTTGTCAGATTTATCTCTTTTTTATGTAGATGGCGAATCCGATTTGAGGACAAATCCTTTTCAAGAAGGAGAGAATGATGTGGACATGACCTATGACAAGGGCTAGAGCAAGGGAAGTAAAGGAAACTCTTCAACAAGTATTGTTGGTTGACCAAATTGTGTTTTGGATTAATCAATTAATGGACTTTAGTTAGGTTTTATTGCAAGTTGTAATAAGGGCTCAATTGAAAACTTAGTCATCAGTCTTTGGGAGACCAAGATGGTGCATAGCTGATTGATTTTTGGTTGCCACAATTTCAGTTACAATCAGTCATTAAGTAATATCAATTCCTAGGTTAATGAATTATTATTAGTCTTTATTTGTTTTCATTCAGTAGTTTTCAATTCCTAGGTTAATGAATCATTATTAACATTTATTTTCCTTTATTGAATCTTTGTAATTCTGATAACAAGACTTCTATATAGGTTGAATCATATTTTTATCAAATATAACAAGTTAAATTTTATTTAAAAATATTAGAGTTTAACTCTTTTATCTTATGAGAGTGATTCTCCTAAATTCTTGAGTGATTCAAGAACATTTGGTTGTATTAAAGAACTTTCATATTCTTTGTGAGTTATTTCTTTTAGGAAGAGTGATTCTTTCGCTCCATCTTATCATTAAATTCTTAAATTTTTTACAAAGTTCTAACCCTAAAGATCTTAAATCATCACTTGTGCTATTGAGATTCATATCAATATCTTATTTTTTATTTATTATTATATAAATTTTTTTTATAATTAGTCTTCAGATTGACTAGTTAAGATCTGGCCTTCACGTGTGCCTTTCATTCCTTTATCCAAGACCATATTATACCAATTGAGTCATTATCAACATATTATCCATAATGATTTTCATTGTGATTTAGTATTATCTTCATCTTCTACTTGCATTAGGATATCAATAACGTTTGAGAGATCAGAAGATGACGAGGAAGTAAAAAAAGGGTTAGATGAAAAAATATGCTTTAATATTTGGATTTTATTTTATTTTTTTGACAAATTTATCTTTTGTTTTTATATTTACAAATAGATCAATTTCATCCACAGAATTTTTAAGAATGTGTAATTTCAATTTTTTTATACTTTAATTTAATATTTAATTGTAATTTTTTACCGTAACATAATTGATAAAAAACAAATATGATTTTAATTTTTTATACTTAAATTTGATATCAATCATTTTTTTACTGTTATAAAACTGATTAAATGATTAACTTTATAATATTTTTAAAGTTGAATATTAATTAGTTACTTTTTAAAGAAATAAAGATTTTTTTGAATATAAGAATTTAAACATATTTAACCCAATGACTTCACATTTTATTTATGTGTACTATTTCATATAAGTAAATGATTAGTAATATTTCATAATATTTATCTCATATTTAATAATAACTAAATTATTACAAAAGTGCAAATAAAATAATTATTCAAAAGAATGCAGAGTTTATTTGGATACATTTTTTTATAAGAATTTTAAGAGAAAAAGGAATAGAATTAATTTATATATAAGTTAAAATTAGTTTAAAAAATAAAAATTCTTTTTTTTCTTTGTTTCGAGATATACAAAAAAGTATAGAGGAAAATCCATTATGTTTCAATTTTTTATTATTATAATAACTAGTTAAATAAAAATATTAAAATAATAAATAAATTTATTTAAAATTAATAAAATAATATTTTAATTAATTCATTTTCTATATTATTTATTAAATTCTAACAACTTCAGTCTTCACTCAAATTCTCTACTTTTCCACTCTCTCGATGCCCATTTCAATCCTATCAGAATCCAAATCCAAGCACAATCTTAATGATTCTTATATATTTGTAGCATTTCTTTTAGAAGCTCTAAAATCATACTACCCGGACGAACATGAAGCTGCAACCTGCCGTTTCAATGCATGAGCTTTACAAAGGGCCTTAAATTGTCATGGGTCTCAGATCATGTTCTAGGATATATGCGAATCATGTTTATCTAGTTTCAGTGACTAATCATCACATTACCACTACCACCCCATTTCACCCTCATTGGCGCCTATCATGTTCCTTATTACATTCCACCATATCCAATGGTTCACCACCACTAGGTACCCTTCATGCCCTCTTCGTCAAGAATGGCTCTCTTCAAAATTGGAACTCAGCTAACCATCTTTTAACTCTCTATGTCAAATCCAACAACATGGGCCATGGCCAGAAGCTGTTCGATGAAATTCCCCACAAAAACACTCACACATGGACCATCCTTATATCGGGTTTTGCCAGAGCCGGCTCTTCAGAAATGGTCTTTAACCTTTTCAGAGAAATGCAGGCAAAGGGTGCTTGTCCAAACCAATACACCTTGTCCAGTGTCTTCAAGTGTTGTTCGCTCGACAGCAACCTTCAATTGGGCAAGGGAGTTCACGCATGGATGCTCAGAAATGGAGTTGATGTAGATGTTGTGCTGGGGAATTCTGTTCTTGATCTTTACTTGAAATGCAAGGCTTTTCAATACGCGGAAAGGTTGTTTGAGTTGATGGATGAGGGGGATGTCGTGTCAAGGAATATAATGATCGGTGCATATCTGCGTGTCGGAGATGTGAAGAAATCTCTTGACATGTTCAGGAGCTTGCCTTATAAGGATGTTGTGAGTTGGAATACGATCGTGGATGGGTTGATGCAATGTGGTTATGAAAGACGGGCATTGGAGCAACTCTATTGTATGGTGGAGTATGGGACTGAGTTTTCTCCTGTTTCTTTCTCCATAGCTCTTATTTTGGCTTCCTCTTTATCACATGTGGAGCTAGGGAGACAACTCCATGGTATGGTCTTAAAATGTGGCTTTGATAGTGATGGTTTCATAAGGAGTTCACTTGTAGAAATGTATTCTAAGTGTGGGAAAATGGATAAGGCATCTATAATTATCAGAGATGTTCCTCTGGATTTTCGAGGAAAAGGGAATGTTGGAGTTACTTGCAAGGAACCAAAGGCAGCAATAGTTTCATGGGGTTCAATGGTTTCTGGTTATGTTTGGAATGGGAAGTATGAAGATGGTTTGAAAGCTTTCAGGTTAATAGTTCGTGAACTGGTTGTAGTGGATATTCGAACTGTTACGACTGTTATTTCTGCTTGTGCGAATGCTGGAATTTTGGAATTTGGAAGGCATATACATGCTTACGTTCAAAAAATTGGGCACAGAATCGATGCTTATGTTGGTTCTTCATTAATTGATATGTATTCTAAATGTGGTAGCTTGGATGATGCATGGATGATTTTCAGACAAATCAATGAACCAAACGTTTTCTTGTGGACTTCCATGATATCTGGTTGCGCGCTACAGGGTCAAGGAAGGCAGGCAATTAGTCTTTTTGAACAAATGTTGAATCAGGGTATTATGCCAAATGAGGTTACTTTTCTAGGGGTTTTAAATGCATGCAGCCATGCTGGGCTGCTTGACGAAGGTTGTAGATATTTTAGGATGATGAAAGATACCTATTGCATCAATCCCGGAGTTGAACACTGCACTTCTATGGTTGATCTTTATGGTCGAGCAGGTTGCTTAACTGAGACAAAGAACTTCATTTTTGAAAATGGTATATCTCACTTGACTTCTGTGTGGAAATCACTTTTATCATCTTGTCGACTTCATAAAAATGTTGAAATGGGAAAGTGGGTTTCTGATATGCTGCTTCAAGTTGCATCATCAGATCCAGGAGCCTACGTTTTGCTATCGAATATGTGTGCTTCTAACCATAGATGGGACGAGGCTGCAAGGGTAAGAAGTTTAATGCATGAAAGAGGAGTCAAGAAGCAGCCAGGTCAATCTTGGATTCAACTGAAGGATGAAGTTCACACTTTTGTCATGGGAGATAGGTCTCACCATCAAGACAAGGAGATATATTCATATCTGGATACTTGAATCGGAAGGTTGAAGGAAATTGGGTATTCCCTTGATGCAAAACTGGCCATGCAGGATGTAGAAGAAGAGCAAGGATAATTACATATTAGTCATCACAGTGAAAAGCTGGCAGTAGTCTTTGGCATCATTAACATTACCAATAGGATGCCGATTAAAATTATGAAGAACTTCTGCATTTGTACCGATTGCCATAACTTCATTAAGTATGCTGCTCAGGTTCTATATCGCGAAATAATTGTAAGAGATATTCATAACTACCATCAAGCATGGTAGTTGCTCTTGTGGAGATTATTGGTGACGAAGGTAAAACATTCAATACTACTACTAAGTCTACAATATATAGTTTTTGATGTTCTGAAACCACTAATAATATCTTTATTTGTGGTATAACTTATCAGTGCGTCAGAGATCTGTTGCAATAGAGCAAAAAAGATAGTGGGGAATCTTCTGAGATATGGGTTCCAGGATACATAAATTTAGTTCATATTTTTTTACTAATTTTATTTTTATTGTAAGATTCTAATTTGTTCATAATTTTGTTACCAGATGTTAGACTGACCAATCATTTTATTCCTGATATCTTTTGTGATGTTTTCATCCCTCATATACCTCAAATGTTAAACTAATGAAATTTATATTCTGATAGCCTGTTTAGTCTACACAAAATTTTTAAAAAAATGAAAAATAATAAAAATAGAATAGCCGAAAATGTTTTAGGAAAATAGAGGGAAATTTGTATTGCAATTAAAGAAGTGTTTAATTCCCACTCTAAGTACTAAGAAGCGGAACATCATAATAAATTAAACATGAAAATTTGCCAAAGTAAAATAAAAACATGTGGAAACAGCTTACGGGTTGTGGCCATCTTTGTCAGATAAAAATTTGTGGAACTTTCCAAAACCCCAATTTTATGTCACAAACTGACGGATAAATCATTGGAATTAGAATGGCTTCATTTTTTTATGTACTAGTACTTCAGATTTCTTGTATTTGCCACCTTTTTCCAGCTCAATAATCATCAACTTTTAAGTTTGTTTGGGTGAAAAAATTTAGTTGGGAGGGGATGTTGCATGGTACAAACCTAAGCTAGCACTTCCGGTGATACTTATAGATGACCTACTAATGGAAGTCCATAAGCAAGGACCGAATCTAAGCCCCTTTTGTCTGCATTGTTCAATCCAGCATGTTAAGCAACCCTCATTGCCTACTTGATTGAAAGTAAAGCCTTTTAGACTTGCCTATCCCATCTTATGCTTTTCATATTCTGACTGAGGACTCACCTAACTCTGAGTCTTGATATTCAAGGTCTTGTACATCACGGAAGCTCCGACACAATTCGTTAGTTATCTAGGTTCTGGTTTTGTAGCTTCTATATAGGCCAATGGTACTTTAATTATTACTTGCACTATTCTCATGTTTGCTATAATCATGCAGAGTACCATGCATATATATATTGTATTGATAATTCTGCAAATTGGAATTTCTTTAATGCTCGGTGGCTTAACAATTTCTTATGTAATAGTAATATATGCACAATCTAGTTCCACAAAAATGGCAATTTCAGACAGGACTAACAGAAACAGTTGTTGAATTCAAGACATTGAGTTGAAGCAAATGAAAAATGTAGTAGTTAGTACTTCGATTAATAATTCAAACAGAAGAAACAGCACTGGTATTTTCTTCGTCATGTTTTGGATGGCAAGTACATAAATAAATTATATGGGTAATTCATTTTATCAGTGTGTGGTTGTTCATGCTTTAACTTCTCTACTAATCAACATTACAACTTAAGGGAAAAAGGCAATGTAGAAAAGGACTTGACCGTGTTTTATTGTTCAAGTTGTTGTGGTCGTTATAGGTGAGACACAGCTTAAGAACCACTCGATACTTTTTGTCTCCTATAGGCTATAAGGTAAAGTTAATTCTCAATTATATTATATGGACGCATCATTTGATTTTTACTGATTGGCACCAATCATAGACTAAATGACAAATATTGTTGGTTGAGATAGAGATAAGAATGAGATAACCATTATTTTGAGTGCTTCTAATCACACTACAGGGACAGTTTGGTCCTTGTGAACTTTAAGTAAGTCGAATATTATCATGAATATGAAGTTGTTAGACCAGTAGTTTTCTAATTTAGATAGAACGTGGAGCAGTGTAACCCTTCAGATAGTTCTACCTCTGTTCAGTTAGGATATATAATGAAAGATTTTAAGAGGAAATAAGTGAGGTGAAAAGGAGAAAAGAGAGATAACTAGATTTTTAAATTGTTTGCATTAAGAGAAGAAAAAGAACAGTGTGTTGTAAAGAAATTTGTACCTAATAATATATTTACATAGTTAAAAACAAAAGGATAAATACATTATTTAATTTTCAACTTCTGAATCCCTTTCTTTTTCGCTGAATGTTATTTCTTGGCTTACCAAGCAGGATTGATGAAACATTTTTTCTGTCTACACTTCTACTCAAACAATGCTATCAATCCATCCATCAATGTGCCAAAATTTGACTGCAGAAAATGAGACAAGTTAAGTTATACTTTATCTCAAATAGGTCACACACTTAAATCTCAAATCTAAGGTTTAGGTTTTAGCTATTTCAAATTTTCCAGGACCTTTGAACTTTTTCAATTTTTGTTTGAAAACTTTGTAGTACGTTTTTCATTTTATATTTTCGTCATATTAAGCCTATAACGTAAGCTAATGGGCCTAATATTTGTAAATGAGTTGAACATCAACAAAGTTTAATATAGGTAAGGTTGTCACATAATTTCATCCCTAAGTAAGAATTGATTAAAGCTTCATTAACTTGCTAAACTTCCGTTAATAAACTCACATCAAATTTAGTACGAAGAAAGACAACTCAACCTGCCTTCAACAAATCCACTCTCAATTCTCACCATCAATGATGCCATTCTTCTTTGTATTCAAGAAATATCAAATTTGGTCTCCATCGCCGCGAGTTCAAGATTCATTGGGAGGTTCGCTTGGGAATCACTACTTCTAGATCGAGTCCAAAACAAGTAACCAAAAAAACATGGATAATACCCTTTTATTCTGATTTTAACAAGAATAAAAAATGTATACTACAAAAAACAAACAACTAAAACAAAAAGATATGATTGGTGACTTATTGTAGAAGAGAGGTAAGTGAAGAAAAGGAGTGTGATATTATATTTCTTTGGTTCATAAGGGTTTGATTTCGCTTTAGTCACTCACTACTCAACCAAACCAACTTTTCCAAGGTGATGTTCGTTAGTGACACATAAAGTGGATGGATCCATCGATTTGATGGTGAAATACATTGCATATGATAGAATATATTATGTTAAAAAAGGTGTAAACATATTACATATATATGTTACACAAATACATATATATCTGAATCTTGCGTATGTGTGTGTATGTCCCTTTCACTCACCAAACGGATTTGTTTATAAGATGTAGCTTGACTTTGTATACGTAATAATAAGATGCTCCACAAGAAATTGAATTAGTGACATTGTGGTGTGCCTCATTATTATATTATAACAGCAAGTAGGGTAGCTAGGCCTATATATTGTTGTTGTCAAATCTAAACTCAAAGGTTGCATGTTCTTGGTTGCTATAGCTCAAGCTCCAATTCCCATACATTGATTGAGAAAGAATGAGACAAAGAATGGAAAGGCTTGTGATTCTTCCTTTCTCTGCTGGTTGCATCTCCGAGGCCAGTGTTGCTGTTGGTGTTCCTCAGCCAAGAAGATCAAAACCAGACACCAATGCTTCACCTCCTACAATAAGTCTCTTTCTCTCTCTCTTAATTAATTTGACTATTTTTCATTTATTTTGTATTCCACCAATCTTATACAACTCTTGTTTTGGATTTAGTGAAAGTGATTAATAATGCACTTCTAAATGCATCTTGTCTTTTCATTTTTACATAGATTAATCTGGAAAAATTTCTTGTGTATACTTTTTTTCCAAACAACCTTTTCATAAGTTTATTTTAAATTATGAAGAAGTCAAGTTCAATTTCTTCTAAAAATTCTTATAGAGATGTTGTAAAATATAATATTTCCAACAAAATGCATAATATATATTAAAATTTGTTTAAACTTTTTCATTTATTTATATATATATATATATATATATATATATATATATATATATTATCATTAAAATATACATATATGCATAGTACCACAAATGATTTAATGGTTTAATTTTATGTGTTACATGCACTTACTTAGCTATGATGTAGTTGAATTGGTTGATTCCATCTGATCTAGTTTCTAAAATTATATAATACGAGACAAGTGTAGAAGGAGGTAAAGGTGTCGAGGATTCAGAGATCGTGTCTGGTGAAAACATGAAGAACTCCTTGAGGCTGATAGACGTTGTTCCAAAGCCAAACATTTCCAATGGCTTCAACAGGCTCTTCAAGGGTTTCAAGAATTTCTCTCAATTCTTTGGTCAGTATTTTAACCTCATGCTTTATTTTTATGTTTGTAATGTGATTTCATTTTATATACATCACAATTTACTAGTAGACTCTATGAATGAATCTTTGTTAAAATATCATTGCAGTGGAGAAAGATGAGTACGAAGAAGTGGAAATGGACATGGAAATAGGGTGCCCTACAGATGTGCAGCATGTGACACACATCGGTTGGGATGGCATTGCAACTTCTGCGGATCATCCTCTCTTTCCTCCACAACTCCTCTCTCTATCCTCTCAATCTTCACACCACCATCACCTCTCCAACTTGGATTTCGATCCAAAACTTCAAACACCATCTTCTCCCATCAACCCTCCTCCTAATTAATTCAACCCTTTCAACAATATCATATATGTCAAACTAGATATGTGAGTTCATGTGTTAATTGTTTATGCTGAGTTCACTTTACTATATATGTTGTTAGTCATCGTTAAGTTTCTATGTAAATGTATAATTAAACCAAGATGCATGTCTCTATCCGTTTGTAACCAATTTTAGTATATATCTATACTTTCCCTTAATTTCTACTTCATCGAGTTTCCTCTAATATTGAATAATCCATGCATGCTAGTCATGAAGATGTAACTCAGAAATTGTATTAAGAGATGGGAAGAAAAGGAGAGAATGTAGCATTTGTAACATGGTGAGAGTCATATGATACATAATCATTTACAACACTCTCTATTGCACAAATAACCCTCCATTCATTGTCCATTTAGAGAGAATGAATAAGAAAAAGAGAACAAAGCGAAAAGACCATTCACTTGATGTAGTAAGGAAGGTCCAAGACGTAGAGGAGGAAGTAGGCCCAAATAACCCCCGAAATGCCTCCGAAGAAGAAGCCCCCGGTGAACTTGGCCCACCCATCAGCAGTTTGGAGCTGATCGGGCTGCTTCTTGCGGCCCGTTAAGGTCAGTGATGGGGCCGTCGATGGGTCTCCTTCGTTGAACGACGCGATCCCATACATTGTGAGGCAGATGCTGAGGATCACCACAAGCCCACCAGCTGCGAGCGACCCCGCTGCGCCCGCGTACTCGGTGTTCCTGAGAGGCCCGGCCTTCACGAATGGACCCACGAGGAGGTAGCCGTGGGCCAGGCCCACTTCGATGCCTCTGAGTAGTGGGCTCACTGCGGTCCTGTAAGCAGGGAGGTTGGACAAGTACCAGGCGATCAATGGGCTGGACGTAACTGGGGTTTCCAGACTTCCGATGAAAGGGTCACCGTTGATTGGCTGAATCACTTGATAGGTTGGCTGCCAGTAAAAAATTCCAATCCCCAAATCCAAAAACATCATCATCCTCTTCTTCAATTTAGATTCTCAGATGATATTATTCAACTAAACACCACAAAATGTTCAAATATTGTTTGAACAATTCATGAAATGTAAGAATTTGAGTGATTAATTAATTAATTAATTAATTAATTCACAAAACCATTGAAACATAGAATGCATATGATGATGGAGTTGTGCGTAAGATAGAAAATGGAGGAAGTAGAGAGAGTACCTTCTCTGATTGGATGGCCCTAACAGTGAAGGTAGAGTGGGTTCTGGAAGGGAAGAGATGGAGTGGAGAAGAGGATGAGAGGCCCTTGGGTGAGACAAGAGTCCTAGTGAAGGTGGACCTGAGTTGGCTAGCCATCGGAGAAGAAGCTGCCATGGTGAAACAGCAGAGCAGAGAGAGTTGGCACCACACACACAGTGTCTCAATTCATGAACTCAACTCACTAAGTACTTCCATGTCTCACTGCAACATCAAGATTGTGGCTGTTGAGGCCCCTCCCATCCCATTGGCTGATATGCATATCAAAACCTTATCCCTTATCCATAACCCAACCTTTCCATTTTCGTTTGATATTTTTACTTCCTCATGTCATGGGCTCTTTTAGATCTGTAAGCCCGTCATTTACGCCCACTTCTTGTTTCCTCTTTCCACCATCAACACTTCACGGGCCAACTGACTAGGATCCACACAATAAATTACAACCTTATAAATGTGAACAGCCTCTTTCTTCCTCAAACCCAATAATTTATCCTTGCACCCCATAATTAAATCATTTATCTTCATCTTTCATTAATGTTATTTCTGTTTTTATTCAATGACTGATTTCTAAGCCCAGCATTTTCATTTCTTTCCTATTATTCTAAAAATTATAAGAAACAGGAGAGGATGTCTAACCTTTTTTTTTTATTTTGTATCAAATTTATACATGTACAGTGTTTTGCTAGAAACACCACAAAGAGTGAGAAAATTGGAAAAAAAAATTTCAAAAAATATGTTTTGGAACGTGTTTTTCGGAATGTATTTCTGGAAATATATTCTGGAACGTACTCTCTATAATTGATTTTCTGAAAATATATTGTAAAAATTGTATTTCAGAATGTGTTTTTAGAAAGGTCAATCTGAAAATACATTCTGGATTGGATGTTCCGAAAATATGTTCTGAAAGTTAATTCGAAAATACGTTTCGTATTGGGTGTTTCAAAATTCAACATTATTTTTGCAACACAGTTTCATATTAAACAGTTTGGGTCTATTTGTGCAATTTGAGTATAGAAACATGTAATTCATACATAATATTAACTATTACTTAACTTTAATTATTAGAAAAAATATTTAATAAACCCTACTACGGATAAGGCTTTTCACGTCGGTTCTAGAAAGCCTTCAATGACGGTTCCATAATCGATGTTGTATCCGTGTAAATATATAAATATAAAATATATAAATACAAATATATTTATATATTTTGATATATTTATATAGTTATATATTTATATATTTATATGTTGGATGTGAGAGTACGCTCGAATGTGAAAGTGTGTCTTGAGTAGGTTTTCAAAGTTTGATGTCAAATTTGTGAGCGAATCTCTTTATATAGATTTGTAATTTAATGACAGAATATAATCTTTATAACTTATTTATATAATGATATAAAATAAATTTGGGAAATGCGTCATTTGCTTAAGCAAAAAATACCAATTTTCACTCAAGCGAGATATTTTCACTTGAGCGAGTGAATTTTCGTGAGCTTTAATGTATTTTCGCTCAAGCGATAATCAATCTCACTTTCACCATCGAGTGCGCTTCACGTCCAACATATAAATATATAAATATATAAATATATTTGTATTTATATATTTTATATTTATATATTTATACGAATATACATTTATTTGTATATAAATATAATTTATTTGTAAGTTTTTATCGGAAAATCTTAGTAACTTAGTGGTTGGAGTATTAGTCTTCAACTATAAGGTATTAGGTTCGAATTCTGACATTGATAATTTTCTAACTTAATCAAAATTTTGGTTGAAAAAAAATATTTTCTACGTCGGTTCATTTGGGAATCAATATTCATTTTTTAACCATTGAAATTGTATTCAACATTGCCTAGTTGTATTCAACATCGCCTAGCTTTAACCGATGTTAAATGATAACATGGAAAGCATATTATGTAGTAGGGAGAGGTGATAACAAAAAAAAAAAAAGGTCAACTGATGAAAGTGTTAAGGGATAAAGGTGTAAAAGTTATACATAAATAAGAAAAGAAGTCAGAATAACAAACAAAGAAAATTTAACTTTCAACGTTATTTTTTAACCAACCGATATTAAAATTGTATTCAATGTCGCTTCAACTTAACCGATATTAAATAACAACGTGAAAAATATATAACAAGAAAAATAAATATAATAATTAGCTTTACATATTTTAATGACAAAAACACATGCTACCATAAAAATAATTTTTTAAAATGCAGAGGTCAAAATTGGATTTATCGTTTAGATTAAAAAGCATAATCAATTAAACAAATTAAAATTAAAAAAATCAGTATGTAATATGTAGGTCAAAATATGAAACTAGTCGGTCATGGAGTGACGATGAAGGAAGTTAAAGACGAGGACTCAGTCAAAAGTGTGACCAATAATTCAAATACTTGGTCCATACTCATTACTTTGTCCAATACCAACAACTTTTTTTTTTTTTTTTCATCATTCAAATAATAATTTGTGGGTCTTTACTCTTCATTTTTTTATGAATTTATTTTTGTTGTGGCTGCTTTCTTGGGGGAAAAGAGGACAAAGTTGATGACAAGAACAGTTTGATTGTAATGCCACATTTTCTTGACCATCCAAGACAATTCTTTTGACTCTCAAGTTTTATACATAGGCAATTAGGTCATCATAACTCACAATTTTTAATCTAATTTTAAAAAACATATATAAAATATAAGATTAGCCCAACTAACTAGTTTTTTTGTTTTTTTTATTTGTTTATAAAATTATACACTAAAAAGTTGAAAAAAAAGTTAATTTGGTATTCAAAAATTATTTTTGTTAGAAGAAAAATATCAACTACATTATGATAAATTAATTAGTTATATTTTTTATATTTTACATTATACATTTACCAAAAGATTTTATTCGTAGCATTGACTCCATTATAAATTTTAATTGCTTTTAAATTTTTCTTAAGGTTTCTTTTTCCATAACAATAAATAAAAAAATATGAACATTCCAAACATAGTACAAAAGTCATGGAAAAAGTATACATTCACACTTATTCATCATAGTCATTGAAAGGATGAAAAACTAGCAATTTAATAAGTTTATAATCATTATTATTTAAAACTAGCAATTTTTTAATTGATTAATAATATTTTTTTTATATTGACAATACATTAATAAAAAAAGGCTCAATCTTGTTCAAAGTTTGTATGATGGGGATACAAGAATATGCAATTTAATAAAAATATCTTTGAAAATATTATAAAATAATGAATAAAAAAAAAAACGAAACTTCCTAGTTTGAAGGATAAAGATTGAAAATAAGTAGTGAAGAAGAGAAATCCAAATTCCATTTAATAAAATATTGAAAGGAGTTGACAAAGACACTCACACACCTATCTTAGTAGGGATTAAATTTAAGTTTTTTATCTTAAAAAAAAAACTACATTATTAATGTAAGTTGAAAAATTAAAAAGTTCATAATTAACAAAATTTAACAACGACTTTACCTTTTAAGCTACAAGATTAAAACATGATTAATTTTAACTGACACCAAAATTATAAAATAGTGTTTTTAAAATCCATCCTACACGAATAACAAATACCGAAATAATACATAACAATTTATTCTATTGGTTAAGTCGTAAATCAGCACAAAACTTCACATCATGGCTAGATTCAAAACCTTTTGAATTTTGAGTCCTCGTCAAGAAGTGCATTAATCTTACGTTAACAGAACAAATAAACTAATAAATATAGTTCAATGGATTTGATGATCTGGGTGAAAGAAACAACAATGTTAGATTCAATGCATTTTATAGTTTGTTCGTGTTCCAGGTTACCTTCAATCGTTACCATGATTTAACATGAATACGAGGAAAAATTTGTATCATACAACTAGAATGTCTAATAAATAAGTAAAAATATTAGTTGGTTAAATTAATTTCGTAGTAAAAGAATATTGTATAATATTAAAAAAATTTATTAAAATATTAATTGTTAAAATTATTTTTTTATAAAAAAATATATAGCATGATAAAATATTTTATTTTTTATAATTATTTTATTAAAATAGTTAAACAAGTAAATAGATAAGAGAGAAAACAAAATTTTTAAATTTTATTAAAAAAATAATATAATATTATAAATATTTTTTCCATGTTTGAAGGTAAAAAAAAACAACTTATATGAAATTTTATTATAAATGCTCTTAATTCTAAATTTGTACTATATAAATAATAGATATTCTCTTTTTTTTTTTTATATATATATATATATCTAAAGTGTGCATATACTGTTAAGAGTGTTATTTAATAATTTATTTTCTTAATTGTAAAAACTAATCTTATCACTTTTATTTATGAAAACTAAATTGTCTATTTTATTATATTTCCCCTAATTGTCTCTGTCTTTATCTTTTATGATTTTTTTTATCTTTCTCATTGATTATATCTTCCTTTCCAAGTACCTCTCTTCCCTTTTTTTTAAAAAAAAAAACTGTAAATATTTTTGTTTCTACAATATTCTAATTGAGTCTTGTACTATTAATCAATTAACTTTTCATTTGACCGAAAAGATGACATTATTTTGATTAAGGAAAAAAATAAAACTTAGAATGGTTAAATATTTGAATCTTAAATATGTTATTTTGGTATAAAACCCGAGAAAATAGTTACAATGTGTTCAAAGTATCGCCATTTAGCTATCAATAATTCATATCAACACATGCATTAAAAAAAATCTGAAGTAGATTTTAAATTACATATATAATATTTTCCCTATTTAATGTTATTCATTTTATTTATAAATATATATAATATAAAATAATTTTTTACAATAATTTTAATTTACATACGAATATAATTTAATCAAAATTATATGCAATATTTGTATATCTAAATATATAATATATGATAAATATTGAACCAGATTAATTAGGAAATTAAGTTTAGTCTTGCTTTTGAATTATCCATACGAAAATATTTTTATTTTATTTTTTAAAAATAAATATTTAGAAAATTTTATGTCTATTCTTAATAAAAATACATTATATTTTTATTTCATTTTAAATAATTATGATTAAAATATTATTAATAATTAATACTCTACTATATTTTTATTTTTTATATATAATACAAAAATAAAATCTGAAAAATAAATTTCACTTTTTTGTCCGTTTCTATATAAAAAAAATACACCAAATTCCTAAAATCTCGCCACGGTCAAAAGAATTTTCTTCATCTTCCTACAAACAAATTCATTAAATATAATAAGTATTTCGTTAATTCTAAATTTATGAAATATTAGAATATTATTACCTCAATATACATAAAGGTATATTTATTTTTAAAGAATCTAGTGACGTTATTTTAAGAAATAAAACAATAAGATAATTATTAACCTACATTTTTTAATTTAATTAATTAAGCTTAAAAAATATTTTTAATCATTTGATAATCATTGTTTCAACGAAACCATTTGTTAGAGTATTAGTTTAAACTGAAACAAATTATAGGCTTGATACCTGCGATTTACATGGCATCAATCTAGAAAAACCCAAATTTTTAAAATCTTAAAAATAGTTTTTAATTTTCCTAAAGAAAAAAAAAACATGTTTCAGTTTGAAAATCAGTTTTAAAGATAAAATTGATTTTGTTTTTAAAAAAGTTAAAAAATATTTTATATTTTTAATTTAAAATTTATCATAGATGAGAAAGTAAAATATTAACTACCATGAAACGTCATGAAAATTTTAAAAATCTTTTAATAATTTTACAATAATATAATATAGTACAAAGGATGTAATTGTCATTAAAATATAACAAATTTAAATTATAAATCATCTTGTGACTTTTTTATTAAAATAATATTATTATATTATATATATATATATATATATATATATATATATAATTTATAATGAAATTATTTACTTAACTGAATCTCTCATAAAATTATTTACTTAGTTGAATCTCTTTTATTGTTGTATTTGGAATTAAGTTTCCAGTAAACCGAATTCTAACTTTAAACTTATCACTTTTTTAAATAAAAAATTTAAATAAAATATATAATTAAAAATAATAAAATTAATATTAAAAATAAAATTTTAATTTTAAATTTTAAATAATATTTATATAAAAAATAATAAAAATAATATATTATTTAAATATATATTAAATTATTTAAATATATTTAAATAATTATTAAATATATTAAATAATAAATTTTTATTATATTTTTTTATATTTTTTTTATTTTTGAATAGGAAATTTAAAATTTATATATTTTTTATTATATGAATTATTTAAGTTATAATTTTAGAAAAAAAAGAATAAATAAAAATTTAATGTAGGTAATATATTAAAAAATTAAATATTATATTATAAAAATTTATGTAATAGTTTTTATTTGATAAATTATAAATATTATATTAAAAAATTCATGCTAAAATTAATTTTTTTAAAATAATAAAGTAAAAATATTTTTTAATTAGTTAAAAATTATTATTATTAATATAAAATAAACTTAAAAATAAAAAATAATAAAAATTGACAGAATTTAATGTATAATATTAAAAATAACATAATCATTGATAATAATAATTGAAAAATAAAATTATTGACAATAATGTTAAGAAAATTTTAATTTCAAAAGTGGTGTCTAGTTCCACAACAAGGATGACGTCTATTACGTTTTGGATTTCGTCGGTATGGTTGTTCTTGAATTTCGGGAGAAATTTGTGGAGGGTTTTCTTCTTCGTAAACCTTTATTATTTTCACTCTATACAAATCTTTCTACCTTTATTATTTTTATTTAATATCATGTTCTATAATTTTTATTTTGCTACTAATAACTTATTTTTAATTTTACTTTTAATATTTTATATATTAAATTTATAAATTTTTTTCTTAAATTATAACTTAAATAATTCATATAATAAAAAAAATTAATTTCCTATTCAAAAATAATAAAAATATATAAAAATTATAATAAAAAATTATTATTTAATATTTTTAATAATTATTTAAATATATTTAAATAATTTAATATATATTTAAATAATATATTATTTTTTATATAAATATTATTTAAATTTTAAAATTAAAATTTTATTTTTAGTATTAATTTTATGATTTTTAATTATATATTTTATTTAATTTTTTATTTTAAAAAAGTGGTAAGTTTAAAGTTGGAATTCAGGTTTACGATAAACCAAATTCCAAGTCCAACAAGTAAAAGAGGTTCACTTAAGTAAATAATTTCATAAGAGGTTCAGTTAAGTAAATAATTTCATCCTTCTATTACGTATATGTATAATATAATAATATTATTTTAGTAAAAAAAATCTCATCTTGTATCAATTTTGATTTTATAGTTATTGAAAACTAAAACAAACAAACAAAAAAAGCTTAACAACTGTTCTAATAACAAAATCTTATCAAACAATATTTTTTTATTTTTAAAATTAAAAAATAAAAATTAGATTTAAAAAAATAAAGAATAAATACTATATCTATTTATTTCCTTGAAAGCTATATCATACATGAAAAGCGTATATATTTATTTACAATATCAATGATTAGAAAATATATTCATATATTTTTAAAATAATATTATAAAAATTAATAACTTATAATATACTACTATTTTTTACCAATAAAATGTAAAAATAAAAAAAAACTCATATAGACAAAAATGCTAACAAAATAATTAATTTAGTTTACTTCTGAAAAAGATATTATAAATTTACCTTCTTTCATAAATTTTAAAATTCTCCTATTGGTATTCACTAGTATAATATTAGAACATAAATACTTCAATATTTGAAGATAATTTATTTTTTCAATGACTCATGAATGTAAACAAAGGGTAATAGCAATTGAAAATAATAATATAAAAAGTATAAGAATATACGAAAAAAATAACAATATATACATATAATATACAAATAATAATAATAATAATAAATAAAAAATAAAGCGTTGATCACTGCGGTTTCCTCGCAGCAGGGGCAACAGCAAAATCTAGTTGTACGCCGTTTGGGAATCAGAGGAAGAGGAGAGGGGAAACCCCAATCCGTTCCAAACGGCGCCGTATTCAAGTTTACACCCTCCTTAAAAAGGGGAGAAGAAGAATCCAATAACCAAGAGATTCTGAAATTAAACTTTCTTCTTCACCTTCTCTTTCCCCTATTTCTTTGCCCTCACTATATAATACACATTCAACAAAAATTCGATTTTCCTTTGTTTTGAGAGAGATTCAAAGAAAGCCATTGACGCCTGGGATAACAACAATGGGGTTGATTGTGGAGGTTGAGAACGGCGACCCAAACAACGCCGTTCTGGTTCCGCCCCCTAACTTCGCCATGGTTGAGGACTGCATTTTCCGATCCAGCTTTCCCACCCCCTCCAATTTCCCCTTTCTCCAAACCCTAAACCTTCGCTCCATCATGTTCGTTTCTTTCTTCATTCAATTTTCATTCTTAAAGATTCCTTCATGCTTCAACTAATTGTTTTTTTCTTCTTCTTTTCGTGTTTCTTCTGTTTTCCCCCTTCCATAAAAATAAGTTAAAGAATTTTGTAATGCGTCTCATAATTTGATTTTGCCGCAGATTATATTGTGTTTTTTAATGTTTAGCGTGAAACTTAAATACGAGGTTGCGAATTGGTGCAGATACCTATGCCCTGAGCCGTATCCTGAGGAAAATCTAGAGTTTCTTCGGTCGCAGAATATTCGTCTCTTTCAATTTGCAATCGAGGGGAAAACGGTAATTTTGTTCTCATGTATTATTCTTCTTCATGTTTATATACTGTGTTGAAAGGTGTTTTGTCCTATGGTATATGATTCATGTTGTTTTAAAGTGATTCCTTTTACGTGTGGAAAATTTGGCTCTCTGGATTTTGGTGACACATTTTATTGACATGGCTATCAGGTCAAGGTCTGGGCCCTGTTTGGATAAATTCTTACTATTTAAAGAAGAAAAATAAGAAGACTCAATTAATTAAGTTTCTTCTATGGATTAAAATCACTTGTGCGTTTAAATTTTATGAAAGCTTGTTCATATGATTTCTTCAAAATTGAAATGTTCGAGTTGATTTCAGTTCATAAGAGAAGTTGAATTCACTTTAGTTTGTAATTTCCTTTTTCTAGAAGTGTTTGTGGAGAAGTTTATTCAAACAAAGGACTCAATAAGTTTAGTTCTGTCATGTGTAGTTGTTCTTTTGCCACTTATCACCGCACAGTATTGATCTGGTTTTCTCTTTAATTATTAGGTTTGGTATCAAGTGGTTTTTTTCTGCCTTAAGGAAGAATTTTGAGTCAAACAGGGATACCTGTTGGTGGATGCATTTGGATTAAGGAATCAGTGTTGGTTCCTTGTTAACCTTGTTTGTATTGTTTGTAGGATGTTTCTACCCCTATTCTCAAGGATTCTATCATGGATGCACTGAAAGTTTTAATTGGTACTGAATTATAACAATTATACATTTGTTTTTCCACTTTTGTGCATGTATCCTCGGTGTTGCTGCATTGTCTCTTGTTTATTTGATACTAAGTTCTGTCATTTTTTTTCCTGGTTTCAGATGTGAGAAATCACCCTGTTTTGATCCATTGCAAGCGAGGAAAGGTATAGAATGATGCACAAATGTAAATTTGGTGTGTGTTTGATCTCTATTTTAGAAAATATAAAGACAGATACATTGAGTTCATGTATCACCACGTAAAACGCCACTCCAACTAACTCACCATTAAACTAGGACCACAAATTGGAAGAGCATGATAAAAAATCTCCCAACTGTTTCCTTTTTTTATTTTAAAAGAACTTGTTGAACTTGATAGATTTTGGACGAGAAACTGATTAATGAACTATTTAGAAATAGTTTTAAAAATAAAGAAAATGAGAAGGAAACAAAACAGACCTATACCTTTTTTTTTTTCTCTGTTTCAAATAAATATGTTGACGAATCTGCTCTTCTTTTATGCAGCATAGAACTGGTTGCCTGGTTGGTTGCTTGAGAAAATTGCAGAATTGGTGTTTGTCGTCTGTGTTTGAGGAGTACAAACGATTTGCTGGTGTTAAATCCAGGACAATGGATTTAACATTTATAGAAATGTTTGACATTCTAAGCCTGAGTCAGTGCCTTTACAGCATCATCTACCAGTACCATGGATATGGTTCAAAGAAGCGTCGGTTGTTGAACAAAGATGAGAATTTACAGAAGCCCCGATTGACATCATTTTAGCCTCGCCGGGATTTTATCCTTTTTCCTCTTTATCATGTAGAATGCATACTTCATATAGTTTTTCTCATATTCTTTCATCTTAATTCTCAAATACCATTGAGACTACTATTTCTTAAAGAAAACCATATGGTCATTTTTTGTCCTTTCCACCTTCTTATAATTTTCATTGTCTTACACCCACAGAAATACGGTGGTGCAAACAAATTTTTTTATGTGGGTATGCCATTATTTGTGAGAGTAGGTTTCTGGAGCCACGTATCTGTAATCAAATAGTAACCTTTATTGGTATATATAAGGAAATTTGTTCATGATCCTTCTCAAGTAAGAAGGGGATAAGTGCTGATTTGTTAGCAGCCAGCATAATGGAGGGAGTAACTTGGATTGGTTTAGCGATTGAAATTTGAATGTTGGAGTTTACTGTTTGTTGTACATATAAGTGAAAAAGTCAGCATAGCTTTAGGGACGGTGGGACCAATTTGTCCCATGACTTACTTATCCGGGAGAGATCCATGAAGAAAAACAGTGTGTCGTTTTCCTTTAGATTAAGAACCTTCCTTCTCTTGCCTTGTGGATAGCAATGAAAGGCCGAATCACTTCAAAAAAACAAAACTGAACTGTTTGGATTGATGTAAAGGAATCATGATATGCAATTATATTATGTCTTATTTACAATCTACTTTTACCTTGTAAATCATCTTGCTCGTTTTCCTTTCTTCATAATCTTATTTAAAATGACTGAATGGTAATTTTATTTTGATTATATTCTGTTTACCTTTAAATTAATTCAGTGTTTGATTTGTGACTGGCGTCTTTTTCTTATTTCAAAAAACCATTCATAGCCATCAAGTTATTATTGAGCAGAATTAAATTCGATCTTTTTAAAATAAGGTTTGAAGTAATTACTAAATAATAACACAAACGTATTATTACCCTTTTGTCGCATTTTTATCCTTGTGTCGCTTAAAATTAATCAATCCAATAATTATATAATTCAACACTATATGTTTTCATTGGGCGTATCCATTTACATATTTTGAACATATATCGCTATATTATTGAGTGATAAACATTTATTTATATTTTCATAATTTATCATCTGTGAAAATAAAGCAATGTGATGAAAAGCCAATTAACATTTGATTTGCATGAAACTTTATAAAATAAATTGATTTTGTAAGAAATTTTAATTCAACCGTTGAAGTGAATAATTTTGTAATTTACAGTTTTTAATTGATATATTGAAACTGAAGATGTGATGAGTTTTGTTGCACATTCCTGGAACGAAGATGGAAATTTCAACATCATCAACAAATCCTTAATTCTTCTTATCCTTGAGGTGAAATTTTCATTTAAAATTGATGTATTTTCGTAGTGTGAAATTGTAAAAACACAAATGTGTTTCATTTTGTATCTTGAACCAATACAAAATGGGAAAACATTTTGTTTGCTTTGTGCACATTTTAACAAAGTAGGGGTTGCAAATAATAGACAAAACTTGTAATGTTCTTTGGGCATTTTTGTTTTATGCCTCTTTTTCTTTGTTTATTTTCGCTTCCTCTTCCCTGGTTACACAATTACACAAAATTGGTTTTAAAAAATAACTGAGTAAACATTAATACAAATACTTAATGTCTAAATTTTAAAGGTTAAACTGTAGATATAATAACTTTTCTATCTAATTCAGAAAAATCTATAAAATTACCTTGAGAATCACTTTAAAGTTTTTATAAGCGTAGACGCTTTACATTCAATTTACAAAAGTTCGAGATTAATAAGGTTGTGGTCTTACAACCTTGATTAATAAAAAAATATATATAATTTTTTTAAAATATTTATGCTAGAAATGTAAAAAAATATTATTTTATTTTAATAATTAAAAGTATAATTAAAGTATTTTTCAGTTTCTCAAATTTAGAATGAAATTACACTTTCAAAGTTGCATAAGTATTTGTTTTTTAAGTAATTTTGTATGTGATATATATATATATATATATATATATATATAAAATGATATTTTTTATTTCTAAAAATTCTTTTAAGTAACTGCTACCAAAGATATTATTAGAAAACAATTTAGATTTTAATTGATGAATCAATTTAATTAGAACAGTTTTGAATTAGTCAACATAATGTCTAACGATCTTTTGTATTTAAATTAGCCAATATCTAGTAAATTTCTTGAAGTAAATAATGTTCAATTTCCGATAATTTTATACCTAATTCATGCTATTCAAATTGAGACACTTGATTTGATGATTGACTTAATGACTCAATACTTTCGTTTTGGCCACTCATTTGTTTTCAAAATCTTATTGTGTCGTCTAATTACTGATTATAGTCTCACAACTTAATATGTCTAAATTAATTTATTTTATAATCCTTAGTTTTAATTGCATTAGGTTATTAATCACACTATTAATTTAAATTTTAAATTTCTAAATTGGATAATTGGAAAATGAATTAGTTGAGGAATATACCAAAACTTTTAAATAATGTTCAATGTTTGGAACATTCCTAGTCATGAATGTTTAGTGTTTTTTTTTAACGAAAGGATGTAATTTGTCCATTTTTTTATAAAATGGGTGATTTAAAAAAATACGAAGATGGATAAATTGTGGTATGAGAGGCAATATTCCATGAAAAAAAATCATATTACATAATATGAGTTCTTTATTTTTTTTTTCATTATTATATTAAGGCACGAATTTAATATTAAAATAGTGCCATGTAACACAATTTTTTTTTCTTCTTCTTTTTTTTTAATCGTGCACCAGTTTCCTTTTTGATATTTTTTTAAACGATGGTACGTCACATAGTTATATATATATATATATATATATATATATATATATATATATATATATATATATATATATATATATATATATATATATATATATATATATAGAGAGAGAGAGAGAGAGAGAGAGAGAGAGAGAGAGAGAGAGAGAATAATACTTAAAATTTTTGAAACATATTAATATTAATGAAAATGGTTATTATATAAAAGTTAAATTAAAATTTATTTAGTATCGGGAGTTTGTTCTACAAGGTAGTATTCTTTCAATTTATCGGGGTTGATGTCTCTCTTGTACATCTATGTCATCATTATCATCATCTTTCTCTTCCTGAATTAGACTTTGAGGCCTAAACATTGTTGGTCTAAAATAATCAATGGATCCAACTTGTTGAAATGCTAACGGTGGTGTCATGGAGGATGGGCCGAAAATATTTGATCCACATAATCGTAGAAGGACTGATAACTCAACAGATCAGGTTGGTGATAGTTTGCCAAACTAGGTTGCTAATAAGTAGATGGACCAACATGTGGATAAGTTGATTGAGGTGTTTGTGATAATATCGTTAGGGTCAATTGCTATGTTTGAGATATTGTCCGCTTTGGAGCTCTCGTCCGTCACGGTTTTCTCCTTAAAAGGTGTCTCGGTGGGTTAAGGGAGAATGGTGCATATAAACTATCATTGACCTTGACTTTGAAAGTGATGTGGGACTCATGAGTATACCGGAATATAAGTCCCCCAGTTGACTTTGAAAGTGATGTGGGACTCATGAGTATACCGAAATATAAGTCCCCCAGTTGAGAACTAAGGGGTATGTATAAGTGAAGCGAGACTCTACTCTCAACCCCACGGTGGATGTCAATGTTTTGTCTAAGAAGAAAAGTGTCCTGACATTATGTCCGTTATAATAACATCATTAGGGTTAATTCTCATGTCAGAGGTATTGTCCGCTTTGGAGCTCTCATCAGTCACGATTTTGTTCTTAAAAGACACCTCGGTGGATTAAGGGAGGAAGGTGCATATAAACTACATTTGGTCCCGACTCCTAAGCGATGTGAGACTCATGAGTATATCGTAACATAAGCTCCCAAATCAAGGACTAAGGGATATGTATGAGTGGAGTCGGCTTGGCTCTCGATCCCACGGTGATCACTAATGTTCTGATTAAGGAACGAAAGTGTACTAACATCATGTGTGCTATGATAACATCGTTAGGGTCAATTCTTATGTCTAAGGTATTATCCGCTTTGGAGCTCTCGTCCGTCATGATTTTGTCCTTAAAAGATGCATCGGTTAGTTAAGGGAGGAGAGTGCATATAAATTACCTTGACCTCGACTCCTAAGCAATGTGAGACTCATGAGTATACCAGAACAAAAATTAATATTTGTAACAACAATATAACCAATTGAAATAAATAATATTAATACTTACTTCATCATCTATATGTTGTGCTTGTTAAGTGGCAATATGTCGTATTGTGCATTGAAAATACCATATATGCAATGTATTTTCAAGCAAATGTCTATTTTAGTTGAACTATTGACTTTTAATTAATCGATTATGTCGATCGTTTGATAATGCAATCCATTTTTGATAATATTGTGGCCAAAATGTGTTCATTCTTCCCCTCATTAACTTTATGAAGTTCACCTAGGTTCATCAGATTATGAGGAATATTATAGTATAAACCAAATTGTCTCATCACTCGATCAGCCTGATGAAACTTAATAGTTGTAAAACAGATAAAAGGCACGATAGAACATGACATAAGAGAAATTTCAACATTTATTAGTTGTTGTAGGACACTTATACAATAAGGATTTTATATAAACTGCACAATGAAGTACAAATATATTATTTTAAAATAAAATATGTATGCATAAATGATAAATATATTGTCATGATATCTCATTTAATTCTAGTTGATCCAACGTGTAACATACTACATGTACTACGTATGCACGGGTGTTTGATCTTTGTCCAAATCAAGGCCACTTAATATGGATATATTTTGTTGGTTGTAGTTCAAGTTCAAACAAACAAGAACTAATTATACGCGATATTGTTCATAAATTTGATGAAGAAGATAATCATATATAGGATGATGAAGAAGTTGATACACTGAATCCTTCACTTATTAGAAGTGTTGGTCAACATACACAATCATCTAATTCAGGTACAATTATTTATGAAGGAATATG